CGCGGCGAGGCAAGGCTAGGCCAGGCTAGGGTAGGTTAGATTACGTTAGATTAAGTTAGGTTAGCTTAGCTTAGGTTAGGTTAGGTTGGGTTAGGTTAGTTTGGTTTGGTTTGGGTTAGGTCAGGTCAGGTTAGGATTGCGCAGTAGACTTGTGCGCATAAATCAGTAACTAAGGGGTACCATTGCCTGCTGTTAAGTTAGGTGAGGTGGGGTGGCGTGCCGTGACGTGACTTGGCGTTACGTGACTTAAATTGGCCTGATTTAACGTGACTTGGCATGACTTGACGTAATTTGAAGTGAGGCGAGGCGAAGCGAGACGAGACGGGGCGAAGCTAGACGGGGAGTTTCGAGGCGAGGCTAGGCCAGGCTAGGGTACGGTAGGTTAGATTAGGTTAGGTTAGGTTAGGTTAGGTTAGGTTAGGTTAGCTTAGGTTAGGTTGGGTTGTGTTGGGTTAGGTTAGGTTATTTCAGGTTAGGCTTGCGCAGTAGACTTGTGCGCATAAATCAGTAATTGAAGGTTACCATTCCCTGCTGTTAAGTTAGGTGAGGTGGGGGTGCCGCGCCGTGACGTTACTTGGTGTGATTTAACGTGACTTGACGTGTCTTGGTGTGATTTGACGTGACTTGGCTTGACGTGACGTAAATTGGCCTGTTTTAACGTGACTTGGCGTCACTTGACGTGACTTGTGACTTGGCGTGACTTGACGTAATTTGAAGTTAGGCGAGACGAAGCGAGACGAGGCTAGACGGGGCGCGGCGAGGCCAGGCTAGGGTAGGGTATGTTAGATTAGGTTAGGTTAGGTTATGTCAGGTCAGGTCAGGTCAGGCTTGCGCAGTAGACTTGTGCGCATAAATCAGTAACTGAGCGGTACCATTCCCTGCTGTTAAGTTAGGTGAGGTGTGGTGGCGTGCCGTGACGCGACTTTACGTGACTTGGCGTGATTTAACGTGACTTGACGTGACTTGGTGTGATTTGACGTGACTTGGCATGACGTGACGTAAATTGGCCTGATTTAACATGAATTGGCGTGACTTCGCGTGACTTGAAGTAATTTCAAGTGAGGCGAGGCGAAGCGAGTCGAGACGGGGCGAAGCTAGACGGGGCGCGGCGAGGCGAGGCTAGGCCAAGCTAGGGTAATGTAGGTTAGGTTAGGTTAGGTTAGGTTAGTTTAGGTTAGGTCAGGTTAGGCTTGCGCAGTAGACTTGTGCGCATAAATCCGTAACTGAGGGGTACCATTCCCTGCTGTTAAGTTAGGTGAGGTGGGGTGGCGTGCCGTGACGTGACTTTACATGACTTGGCGTGATTTAACGTGACTTGACGTATGTTGGTGTGATTTGATAGCGAGGCGAGGCTAGGCTAGGCTAGGCTAGGTTGGGTTGGGTTGGGTTAGGTTAGATTAGGCTTGGTTATATTAGGTCAGGTTAGGTTAGGTTTGTGCAGTAGACTTGTGCGCATCAATAAGTAACTGAGGGGTAGCATTGCCTGCTGTTAACGTTATTGAGTTAACGTGTTATTGAGCAGCTGCAGAATTGACTGCTCTTCCAGATGGGCTCGGTTCCAAGACTAAGTACGTAAGAAAGTAAATTTATAATCCAACAATAAAATTTAATGTAGCTAATGTACCCGCATGCTGGGCATGCGACCAGATGTCATGGCATGAACTCCTGACCCAGTTAAATTATTACTGTTATTAGTATGCTACAGATCTACCACTGCTACAGCATCGGGTCATAACCAGGGCTTGAGGTGGTGCGGGATGCGCCGGGATGGCATCCCGGTTCTTTTCTAAATGGCTTAAAAGTATCCCGTTACTTCTTTGGCAGTAAATGCAATGTACAATACCTTTTTTGGAAAATATTCTAAAGATAAGTACTCGTAATGCATGTGTGACTTTATTTTAACGCATGTCATTTAAACTACTGTAATATGTTCGTAGTTCTTAGATGGAACATAGACTATATATATCACTCGGTATATTTTCATAATTTATGTCTATGAATTAAAAGGAGAAAACCATCCCGGTTCTATTTTCATTCCACCTCAAGCACTGGTCATAACTGTAATCATCATAAACATAATCATCATCATATTCATAATTATTATAAAAATCGTCTCATTCTCCTCCATCTGTATCTTCTTCTTCTTCTGCTTATCTTCCTGGATAAGAACTTATTACTTAAGCATAGGTAAAGGTTTCGCGTCGTGGAAGTAGTAGTTTTTCCCTTATGAGCAATATTTCATACAGAACTTGACAGAATGTTTATGAACAAGTTAGTTATTGGAGAGGGTGGGTTTCCCCATGCACTTAGACCTGTATTGGTCCATTGTGCTTCCCTCTATGATATTCTACCAGTCTCTATATCCTACCAAACTGGTGCTTACCATCAGTCCCGCCCAGCCAGCGAGACCGGCTCTACTAGCTGAGAGGTATCTATAATGCTTCCCCCATCTACCAGAGGTATTAGAGACTGATGTTGGGCGGGAAACGTCCGTAATTTGGCTCAGTGACCTCCTTTGGAGATATGACGTTCTTTTACGTGCCGTAAAGCTACGACACGGGACCCACGGCTTAAAGTCCCTCCCGGAGGACTTGTTCCCTGAATTTTTCCGCCCTTAAAAATTCGACGACCTCCGCCGGGTATTTGAACCCGCGTACCACGAGTCATGAGGTGGGAACGTTACCTCTAGACTACGGAGGCCGCTATGTTTATGAACTATCTCTATATCAGATTTTATATTCCTAGCTTCGCTGCTTCCACAGTTTTGGCCCTCAGACCAAAAGATAAATATAGGTTTCATACAGCCGGATTCTTGTTATTTTACACGATACAAAAAACAGTACTTTTCACAGTTATGACTAAGGAGCAGTTGTAAACGTTCCACTGTTATTTTGGTCTCTTTTTGTGCAATATTTTATGAGATTTGTAGTCTTGGTTATTATAAACTAAATCATGCAGCTACATAGAAAGCATTACAGACCTTTACTTTCTTGATTTCTGTCTCTTGCACTTGAAAATTCGGTTCCTTCTGGATGGCCTTCAACCTGCAAAGGAATGGGCTCCTCTGCTTCAGGGTACATTACACTGCAAATAAGAAAAAGGAGTCGTGACTGTTGATGTCTCCAGATTAACTATCCTTCCCACTGGCAATCCACTGGGATATCTTTATTTAAATAGCTTATGTTATGATACTGTCTCATAAATTATTAGGATTCTGAAGAAACTCTTGTGATTCCTATTAACAATTCACATGTGTCTACGGGTCTGTCCCTCCGTATCGTGTTTAAAATTTAGAGAATAAAATTAGACACTGATGGAGTGCTTCCAAATATTGTTCCGGTTAACTGCGTGTTGCGCGAAGTGAAGATAAAGGTCCCACAAAAATGTGCCATTGCAACATAAGAAATAATTTTATTATTATTATTATCTTAATTCAAAACAGTTTTTATTTTGGAGCACTACTTATGCGAATTGGATTCTCGAATAATGCAGTACTAAAACAAGTTACAAAAACAGACTAAATGTGGCTAACCTGTCTTGCAACCCCGTGAGTTTGTTCTTGCTTCCAATAAGAGCCTTCGTCGCCCTTATTAACAGAGTGCTTACTTAAGGCACGATTATATGAAACATTCTTCGATCAGAGTGGCCGCGCGGCCTGAGGCATGAACCCACTGAAACACTACGTGGATTCAACTGGCACGCAAAACCCGGATGTCTGTGTGCGTTTATTCCAGTTTATTCTGTGTTTGTTTTGTTCTGTGTGTAGGTAGGGGCCTTGCGACAGGCTTATAACCCGTCCAAAGGGTCCTACCGACTGTGGATTAAGAAACTGAAAAAGCGGCCAAAGTTCAAATGGGCTGCAGAGCCATAGATAGACAGATGCGAAACATTAATTAATTAATTAATTCATTCATTCATTCATTCCTTCATTCATCAATGGCCCTTCTTCAATTTTGTAATCTTTTTTGCACAGTCAGTAGGACTCCTTGGACGAGTGATCAGCCCGTCTCATGACCGCTACCTACATACGGGACAAGACAAACGCAGAATAAATGCATAGGCAAACATCCATATCTTTACTGGGATTCAAATCCACGATCCCAGCGTTCGAGCGAGCGAAGACAGTTCATGCCTCAGACCCCTTAGACTACGCGGCCACTGTGATCGGCTATACGAAACATACCAAGCATATTTTTAAAGCATCGTGACCAGTAACTTATGTTTCTTTCGTTTTGTGTTTTGTTTTGACAGTAATTACGAGGATGTGAGCGAATTAAATAACTAAGTCGAAACAAATTCATCGTATTTAGGCGTGCTTTTGTATTGCTTTCGTGACTGTGAAACTGCGTATATTTCTCAAAGACTTGTCTATCAATGGCGCGTAAAAATAAAATGTCGGATGTAAATTTATGGTTTTCGTAGGCAAAGTTCAATATTATTTATTTCATAGAGAACTGCGAATAATATAGACCTTTCTCTTTCTTCTATTAAAAAGTGGCAAGAAACGCGCTGAGTAAAGTTAAAAAAAAAATCCTAATCAAATTACAAAATTTGGCTAACCAAACATTTAAAAACCTAAAAAGTGGCTGTTAGATTATTTCAAATACTGCAACGTAGAAACTGGCATTCAAATCCCTAACATAGTTCCTGAGAAACAATTTTTTTTGGTCGATAAGCAAATTATGGAGACAACAAAGTCTGGGAATAGGAGGCATTTTCAGAAGAGCATAGTTGCCGACAGCACTGAGTTAAATTAATGGCCATGCACTTTAACATCTCGACGATTATCCCGAAAGACTGAAGAACTACGGAAATTTCTGGATAGCCGGTGCCTATGGAAAATGAAACCAAACCCTCCCGAATACCTGAGAAGATGAATGAACAGTAGGTTATTTAATAACGATGTATCAATTAAGATGATTATTTTGCGTCAAATTATATATAACAATGACAGCATTCGCACCATTTGTGAGTACTAAGAAGGGGCAGCGCCATATTTAAAGGCCTAAGGAAAACATCAAAAAGTACCAGGATAATCGGTGTCCAGGCCAAGGTCTGAATTGAGAATCTCCCAAATGAAATCAGAAATACTACCACGTTTACTAGCCTGAGTACCGGGGAAAATTCGTACCTTATCTTTAATCTGCTTATCAATGGAGTAGATCCAATACTTGCTTAAATGTCGTCTATAAATTACACACTGCAAATATTATGTTTGTATTTGTAGTGCAATTAAGATAAAATGGAATCGAAATGCCATAAGATGGCCAAAGTGAACGAAATTGTAAGGAACAGTACGTCAAAGCATAAAACTGGTTACCCTGAATGCAGAATAATTGATCATATCTAAAACTAGACGGAAAAATAAACTGCAGATTATTCTTTTTTAATAGAAATGTACTTACACTTCTTAAGTATCTCATAACAATTCGCGTACGACATTTATAAGATCAAGTATAAAGAGAAAGACGTCAAACGGGTCTCGTACTCTTTGGTCTAATCATAGAAATAAGAATATTTGTACATGTAACCCCTAAATTGACGGCCTGGTTATTTGCATGATATTTAAAATTTCTCAGAGAAATTGTAGGCTGACATATCTAATTTGTAGCAATATTTCGTAATTGAATGTTCACCGGTTCACACCAGTCTTTAAACAGTCTTATATGATGCACAGTATCAGTTTTTCTAGGACTAAGCCATTCTAAATTAACTAAATAATTTAGAGAAAATATATATCCACATTAACCATTAACCTTACCTGAGAATTCAGTCACAATTATAAGAAAAATATTCAGGTCACATGCCACCAAACCTCCCTCCAGCACTGTCAGTAAGAGATTGGAAGGGGGGTGATCGGAGGTGGTCGTCTGTTGACTTTTAGATCTGCTATCTGCACAACGATTCCTCGAACTATAAGAAATTTCAGTCGTACTCATACAGAGCCGAATTCAATTGCACTACTTGAATCCTTTGTGATGGAAAGTTGTAGAATTAATTTTGTATGTAATGAGAATCTTATGGCCTGCGTTTCACCTTTCTTCATCTAGCAGCAAATATGAAAAACATAAAATACATATATGTACGAGTATGGTAAATGTGAAGTTGCAGTGTGCTTCATGCATTAAGCCATGAATTCAAATGGGGATTGGAGGTATAACTCCACTATTCTTGACCTCGGCAGTAGAAGGATTGTGGTCAGCTTCACGCCCCGGCTTCTTTATCGCCGGGGAGAGAGCTGCCAGTATGCACTGGAAAGTCTGATTGTGGCCCAGAGGCGACCTTGACACTGTGGAAAGAAATATATAAATATTTTCCCTTTGCCGGGAATCGAAACCCGGCCGTTCAGCCTCACATATATTCAACCATAAACATAACACTTATTTTATCATCAATTTAGAGTTATAAAAGATGTCCTTGGCATTAATTAGCAAGTCATTTAAAGTGACAACAGAGATTTTAATTTCTCGAGTATAAAACTCTGGCTTCTGTTTCTGGTTTCATTATTAATTTCACGTCATACTTTATTTATTATCATGTGTCATTTCATTGGTTTCTTGCTGCATGCGTGTAGGTCTAATCTAGAGTGTGATGAGTGTACCTTAGAAGGCCGAGTTTTGCACTTGTCATTCAACTACTATACACATTCACCCGAAATACTGTCTACAACCTAAAACATATGATGCGAGGACGATATTTTAGGTCGGAGGGCCACATTCAAATATTTCTACTGTAACGAACGCAAAACTATAGTTTACAGCAAAAATATCTTAAATTTCCCTTATTAATGTGAAAGTAGCTCTTATATTTGCACCGTAAAAAAAACAAAATTTGTTTCAATTTTTGAAATGCTAATTCGCATAACTTCTATAAGTGCAAGTCGATGATTACTGAATGGAAGTTTGATTTTCCTTCATGCTTGAAAGAGCCTGTTCACGTGTATATGTGCTACCACATACACTTGCCAGATTTTGAGCTAATTTACGTAACTCGCGCACTAGGGAAAAAACAAGAAAAAGAAACTAAAGCTTCCTGGTTGAAACTACTACTCAGAATTGAATGAAAATGCAGTATAGTTAATTCATGTTGCAAATTTTTCTGGAGCATCACTGACTTCGACGAAGAATGAGCTTTTGAAAATACGAATATATGTAGCGTGGCTACGGAAGCCACTGAAACTCATTTTTAAATTCTCAGCCAAGGAATAAGTTATTTCCACTGCATGGCCTCTTGGAAACTGAGCAATTATTGATCTACCCATACGAAATAAATCACAGAAGAAAAGCGACACATGTTAATGTTTTTCCACTGTTCCCAAAATAGTTTCAGCTTCATTAAAAAAAGTTATGACCTCCTAACCTCATAAAACCTATTTATTATACATGAATTTCTGTTTAAATTGAAATTTGTTATTTAAGCCACTTAAGTGTTTTTTCGCCTAATTCAATCCAACACGCTTTCTTTTTAATTATACTTGCCATTCAGGGCATCTCAAGTTTTTTCATGGCTTCATTTAAATTAAAACCTTTGTGCAAACTTATAAGTAGACCTTCTACTATATTTAAAATTCTCAATCCTTAAAGCTTTAACTTGCATTTGGGAAAGGAGAACACCGTCTTCTGGGATGTGGCGCCGTGTAGATCTATTGTGAACCGACGTTTCGGATCTACACGGCGCCACATCCCAGAAGACGGCATTCTTCATAGTCACCGCCGTGAAAACCTCAAATCTTACATTGTATTTGGGAAATCCCCGTTTCGAATATCAGCCGAGAAACCTGCTCTCCTGACTGAGGGTTTATTGTTTTCCTCAGTCCCTCCAAGCAAATGCCTGGTATACTTCCTTCGATTAGTTCTCAACCGCTTCCTTACACAACCTCTCTATTTCATTATTCAATTATCGNGAGAAAATTCATCAAACGTTTGTCTTTTTGGTAAAATTCCACTAATCCACTCTTTTCTCCTATTCTGTGCTCGTCACCTAGCCAGTAAAGGAGTATCAAACGCGTACAGATCACATAAATCTTCAGACAGCGCCATGACAGAACGCGAATGGCATCGGCCGAACACGCAGCCAAAGGACGCGCAGTGAACGCACGAATTCGGACGAACAGATTCGCACAGATTCGGCCGAATCCCAGTTCGCAGGTTTCCGCTTCCAATGGACGACTAGCCTTAGACTTCGACGCTATGTAGACTGAGTTATTGGTGGTATCGTTAAATAAAAGATAATATGTACATTCACATAAACAGGACGAGCAACTCCAGAATATAGCGCTTTGTTTGAAAAAAGAGCAAATTTAGTGGGGCCGTTTGTTTCTTGAGTCATTTGTTGACACACTCTCAATGGCAGGTTTTATGTTACAATGGCGAATAGGAGGGTGAACATAAATTACGAATAGGTAAGAAGCGGAAGAACATGGTCATCGCCTGCTTTAAGCTACAATCTTTGCAACTGTTCACAGGGATTGAGAAAAACCACAACAAATCTTAGTTCGCACAACCGATTTCTGTGCAAAGATCAGACTCCTGGACCTCACTAAAACGAAGCAGGGGTGCAAAACATTGCACGAGGAAGTACTTGTATGGTATAAATTTAACAGCATCAGGCTAAAAATACTGGTACATGTGCATCTGAAGAAATTACTAGCAAGAGCAAAGAATTTCATGTTAATAGTCCTTAGGTTCAAAATTTGTCCACAAAGTTCAAATTTATATTTATAAATTTTAACTTTTCTGTTATTTTAAACTACCAAGTCTATTCGCATGATGAGCCGAAGGAACGAATTATCCATTCTCCGCTCTACCTTGCGTATATCATGAGAAAGAAAGGATTAGAATAATTTAATCCGTAATATTTTATAAATTACGAAATTACTTCTAATTAAATTAAAGTTTGAAAAGGGTGTATAAATACATATTCTTTGCACTGAAATGAGTGCCTTATTATACTGAATTTATTAAAGACACAGCAGTTGTAGACATCTTGAACAAAGATATCGGCTATTGGAACATTCACAACGCCAAGATGTAAAGGACATAAATCGAAACGCTGTGTAATCTTGTATGAATTCAGTTTTGTTAGGGTTTCGAGAGTAATATTAAGCCTCCTTCTCGTATAGGATAAAGGTCTAACTATAAATTTTATCATCATACCATCATCATTATCATGTGTAAGGATAGGGCCTTTTGGTCCGTTCTGACCCCAGGTTAGTCTAATTGGTCCCTCTATCTCTTCAAAGGTCAGCGCCCCTCTCTACTTCCTCTTGGGTGGTAATCCAACAGCTTCCTAAGAATTCGGTCATTTGGCATTATTAAGGCCCGTTCGTAGTAATTTCGTTGATATTATTTTGTTTTCGCGTACCGTAATTTATTACTAATTTTAATTTTGAAATGACTTATACAATTATGAACAAATGTTCATGTCTCTGTAGGAACACTATGCGAAACTACGAGGAAGGCCGCTAAAATGACGGGGTTTATGGAGCCGAAGGTTCATTACCTTGTTCACGGGAGCTAGTCAGTAATCTGTATCCTGAGCCAGCAGAATCAAGGCAACACCCTCACGTGACGAAAGAGCTTTACTTTTATACATTCTTTGAGCTCAGTACATGAACTGCTTGCTTCATTAGTGGGTCATCCGTCAAGATTCGATTATGTACCTAGATGATCTACAAAGGAAGCAGCAGAGCGAATATAATTCTGGTCTTCATCAATTCCCTTGAGGATGCAAGGCATGTGGGAAATGAGTTTATGCGGATCCCTCTACATTGGGCGCACAAGTGAAAAGAAACGAAGGTTGTCAGCCTTACACACTGACTGCGCTTTACTCCCCAGGAAAATTATTTAATTAATTCCTGGTACTCATTTCCGTTAGAGGCTGAGTCGACCCCAGGGCCATAGTGCAGCTGGAAGGATTAGGTCAATTGAAAAAATCCAATGACCTCATCAGGACTTCATCCCGCGACCTTCCGGCTTGTAGCTTAGCCCTTCAACCGAGAATACTTCTCAGATTTATTGCATTCATCAGGCAGTGGATAAAAAAAATGGGAGTATGATGATAGAGTACTTCACCTATTCATAGACTTCAAGAAAGCCTATAAAACACTTAAGAAAGAAGTATTGTACAATATTCTCAAAGTCTGGGGAGCCCATGAGACCAGTTAGGCTGATTAAAATGTGTTTAAATAAAACCAATAGTAAAGTCTGCATAGGTAAACAATTGTCTAACATGTCTCTTTTTCAAAATGGTCTAAAACAAGAAGACACTCTATTGCCATTGCTTTTCAAATCTGCTTTAGAATATGCCATTGTGAAGTACCAGGAAAGCCAGGTTGGACTGAAACAAAATGGGACATATCACCTGCTGGTCTATGCTGATGATGTAAGTCTACTGGAACCAGAAGTGGCCGCAGTACAAGGGATTTAGTCCCACCCCACTAGCAATAAAAAAGAAAAAAAGTCTATTGGAAGAAAACATAGATGCCATAAAGAAGTACACAGCAACTCAAATTGATGCTAATAAGAAGGCTGGTCTAGAAGCAAAAGCAGTGAAGACTAAATATATGTTGACAACTCATCATCAGAATAAGGGCAAAATCATAAAGATGTATAACAGATCCTTTGTAAATATGGCAGAGTTCACATTACAAATCAATTTTGATTAAGGAGGTAATTAAGAGGAGATTGTATATGGCTAATGCTTGCTACTACTCAGTCCAGAACATTTGCTATCTCATCTGCTGTCTAAAAGCATAAAAGTTAGAATATACAAAACTGTAATGTTGCCTATGGTTCACTATGGGTGTTCTTGATTGATGGAATATTACAATAAACTGAACCGAACTGTGAAACTTTGTCTCTGACATTAAGGAAGGAACACAGACTGGGGGTATTTGAGAACAGCATACTGAGGACAGTATGTGGACCAAAAAGGAATGAACTGATAGGTAGTTTGAGAAACTGCACAATGAGGAGCTTCAAAACTTGTACACTTCACCTAAAATATTTAGATTAAATCAAGCAGGATGAGATGGGAAGGGCATGTAACATGCATGGGGGAAAAGGAATGCATTATAGGATTTTTGTGGGAAAGCCAGAAGGAGAGAGACCACTAGCAAAACTCAAGACATAGCTAGGGGTATAACATTAAGATGGATCTTGAAGAGACAGGATGAGCTGTATGGACTGCACTGTTCTGGCTCATGACAGGGACAAGTGGAAAGCTCTTGTGAACATGGTAATTAACATCTGAGTTTCATTCCATCTTGGGAAGCTGAGTAACTGTGTAACTGGGGGTTTTTCCAAGGTCTCCACTCCATAGAGTTAGAATAGATACATGCTTGGGAATAGCTCACTATTACATCTTAGTAAAGTAAAGGTATCCCTGTGATCTGTTGAGGTTCCCACATTTTCTAGACAATCGGCTCGGCAAGGTTGTCAGCCTTATGTGCCAGCCACCCTTTACCCCTCAAGAATATTGCAAGAATATTCCTGGCACTCATTTCTGTTAGAGGCTGAGTTGACCTAAGGGCCATAGTGTGGCTGGAAGGATTTGTTCAATTGAAAAAAATCCAATTACCTCATCAGGACTTGAACCTGTGACCTTCTGGCTTGTGGCATAGTGCCTCAACCAACTATGCTACTGCGTACCCCCCACTATTATGTCTACCCGAGATAAACATTGTTGTGAATAAGAGTTATGGGGATTCATGAAATACTACTGCTATTTATTATACAGTGCTTATGCAACTGACATTGACTTTACAAAAATCTCTATAATTATAAAATGAACATGTCATAAAAATTGTTGTCCATTCTCCTGTTGTCACCCACTCATGTAGCTCATGTCTGCTTAATTCAAGCACACTGCACATACCTAGAGAGCAGACAACATGCATGATCTAAATGCACATTTTTATTAATGTCCCATCATGTATACATTTCATTTTTCTTGCTCTGGCTATTCACCATACATTGCATGAGAGCATCTTTCACAATAAATATATTTTTAAGATGTGACATATAGAAGTGCTTTTTAATGCTGGTTAAATGAAAGGGCATGATGATGTCTCCTCTACTTAAAAGCATGGGAAATATATCAGGATACTAGTAAATATATTACAGTTCTCATCATATGAGGACATATTTCATACCAGGCAATCTGTAGGATGATGGAGTGACAGCAAACATGATAAAACACAGTAGAACCAATAGGAATGTAATAACTATGAGGAAGATTTGGCAATCAAATGAGAAACCAGATTACGAACAAAGAAATGCAAGAATGGAGATAGGAAGCTGCTGTAACTACAGGGGAATACCACTTCTCACACACACTGTAATAAAATTTATGAGACGTTTAACTCATGAAATACAATAAATTATAAAAGCAACATTCATTGTAAAGCAATATGAATTTCACAGGGAATGATGAACAACTGACAGAACCTTAAAAATGAGACAACTGACAAACATTTGAAATTTTACAGGGCCATGGTAATTGTATTTATACATTCTGAAGGGCAGGACAGTACATGAACAAGAAGGAAAAACCTTAAGAATAAAATACTAGAGTACCTTACAGAAAAACTGATGCTAACATATGATCGTACAAGGTAAAAACAATACTACGGAAAACAAGATGCTTGAAAACAAGTCATGAAATGAGACATGGAGGTGGCCTCTCTGTTCTCACCTATCTTGCTTAATGCCATGGCAGATAAAATTACTAATAAAGTTAGAAGAGAGAAGAGCTGGCTACACATGAAGACATCATTTGCAGGCCAGGTGATAATTTGGGGAGAAAACTGACATTAAGCTGAGGACAAGATTTTGACTGTAATTTCACAGAAACCAACACAAATTCTATAATATACATTACAATGACAGCTAAAGAAATGGTAAAATTTATTTTGGAAGTGAGCTAATTATCATGTAAAGCCTAAAATCACATGTTGCCACTCTTTAGAAATCTTCAATACAAAAGTTTATGGCAGCCAAGAAAATGCACGATTATTAGTCTAAAGATTATTTTCCCAGGTGTTAAAAACAAGAGAAATTTAAGACCAGAGAATCTCAAAGAAGTGGCAAGTGAATTCATTAAAACAAAGTGAGAATTTGGAACTATAAAAAGAAATACCATAGAGCAAAGGTTTTTAGTACACCTCTCCTCATGAGAATCACACTGATTAAAAAGTTCTCTTTATTTAATAGCATCAGACAAAGAAAACTGGAATAAGTTTATTTCAAAATATTCAAACTATAACACCATACTACATGTAGAATTCATTTTCGGCTTTCATAGTGTAAAAATTAATTCCCTTGAACCTTCAAAATCAAAGATTGTGTTCTCTTAACACATCAAAAGCCTAACAGATAATACATCTGAGTTTTATTTACTATTACAGATAGAATGCTTTTTATGTATGGAAACATGCAGAGCGTCATTTTTGTAACATTAACATATCCTCTAAATATTAACTGAATTCCACATAAGTGTTTCTGATCATACCTTTCAGTACTGCATATCTTCTGACTGCTGCTGCTGCTTCCAGTGAGTTTAACTTTGTCATCTTGAAACAATGAAAGTATTTTGTATCTTGACAAAATAGTATTCATTGTTTACATTAAGATTACAGAATGTGTGGTTCTTGGTCACATACAGTTATTATTCACTTGTTTAAATCCTACAGTTTGCACATAAAATTTTGCAAAACTTAAATGAAAATGTATGCCCTGTGTGAAGCGCTCTCTCTCTTCACTGAATGTGTATGCTTGCTTGAGTAGTAAAAAGAGAATAAAATGATCTGTCCAAGGGAAGAATTCCTATTTGTTCTCAAGAGTACATCTGAACTGGACACAAAAACTGCTAGAAGGAGAAGCAAAATAATCCTGACTCAAGCATTTGACAGGAAGTAGCAGAGTGAGTTTTAATGTATTCAGCATTTCTTGACAGGAAGGTAGACTGGTGTCAGTTTGATGTCACTGATCAGCAAGTACAAAGTACAAAACCATTCATAACACAAAACTTAACAAATGCATTGACCAACACAATCAAGCTGCAAACCAACTGGTTTAAGGAAATGTTCATGACCATGGCCTTACATACATATTGCACAGTAGTCATTATTTATTAAGATAATGATACATCCAGAAATAGTGCAAAAATGTGTAAAAACATACACATTTTTAGCCTCTACCTCAGTAATTAGAAATATGGCCAACAGCACAAAACACTGCAGAGTACCTGTGCATTAGCACCGTATCACATGAATGCAGGAACACACCAGATGGAGATATTTGGTGAGCTTCATGGTCTGGCTACTTTACACTAAGTGAAGGAGCCTTTGGTTGGGCCTTGGAGACAGACATGGCCAGGATTTAAACTCTGGTCATTCACCCCATTCCCCATCATTACAAGACTGAGATATTATAGTGTTATCAACTGAAAAAATTCATGGCAACATGAATTTAATATGCAGTACTAAAATATCTAACATATGAAACAAGTGAAACTACCATCAGACTCATAAATGTTCGCGTTTAAAACCATGAAACAGTACCTGTCAATCCAATGAAAGCTAAATGCTTTGTGAATTTTGTCAAATACAAAATCCTTCTCATAACTTCAGATATCAGTGTCACATATGACCTTTAGTGTTACTTCAGTACAAGCTCTTACTGCGAATTAAGTGGGCTTTAATTGTAGTAGTAGCTGTAGTTCATAAATCTGCAGTTCTTGTTACCTGCTATTTAGGCAGGGGTGTAACTAGAGACCATGAGTCACATGTGGCTGATAACCGCTATAATACGTTCATTGGAACCTGTCAGTAAGCCATAGGCACACATTAACTTCACAATTTAATATTCTCATCTCACTGGACTTCCAGAGCTACCTTTTAGGAGACGATCACTCATCTCAAATTTATATATCTGTAATTGGTCATGCCTGAACTTCCACTCATTACTTCACACTACCTTCAAGTACATTAAAAAACTGAGTATGACAAAATCCCCAAACAAATGTCACTGTCACAAGAGGAAGAGTCAAGGTCAAGCCTTACAACCACTAACACTTCAACAGGATGTTCAAACTATTCCCAAGGCACAATGGCCAGTGGCAAAACAATGAAGAATGGTTTCTAATGTGATAATGAGCTCTACGGCAAACCATACTCTGGAAGACAAACAGAGGCAGAAAGGGAGAGAAAATAAGTGAGATTTAAGTGAAAATGATATGAGAGAGATAGTTTTCCAGTATAGGACTGCAGCAATGTGCTATTTGCAATAATGCTGTCGTGTGTCTGAGTGACTACAGACATGATTTGAATTGGTAATTGGATTTATTGAGCACTTATAGATTATAAATACAAGTAACTACAGCGCTACTGCTAATTCACATTGTCTACAATTCACCACAGAATGTGCTAACCCTTCTAAGTCTGCTTATTTTCACTGCTTGACACCGGGTAATGGCTTCAATGCTGTAGCTCTCTCAGGTTGTGTTCATTCCCTTACTGACTGGTGATTGTCTCTCAACTCAACTCGGTTGGTAGAGTGATACAGGTACAGCCTTGGAGCAGACCCAACAGAAAACACCTTTCCCAGCAATTCTATTGTTGCACCATGTAGCTGTCGCACAGATCATGCAGAAAGCAACGCTTTCCGCAGCCCTCCTAATGTTGCGTGACATCACCGCAGAAGTGACATGTTCCTCTGTTGCGTGTGCAATCATTTTTACAATGATAAGTTATTTACTGTGCCATTACCTAGTAACGATTCTGTGTGCACTACAACCTATATGAAGATCCTCCCTATAAAGACCGGATTCATTGCTCCATTTGCAAATAGCAGTGGCAAAAACCTTGATTTAACTGTGAAGGCATGGTTTTGTTTGAATGTAACTACTGTTCAATCATTAACTTACCCCAGCAGAGTTTGTCAACTTATCAAGGGATTGGGCAAGTTCAAAACTGCAGTCCTTTGTTACATTCCTTTTGAGCCCAAAGCAAAGTCAGTAAGAGTTCCAGCAAACATACATTAATTAGTTCAATACCTGAAATTAAAGAATAATAAAAAAATAAGTTAATTAGTTTCCATGTATGCACTGCGAACTTATTGAAATTCACCCAGTTACTAAGCCTACAACATGAACATAATGAGAATCAAATAAAATGACGACTTTTTCCAGATTACACAAACTGTCACAATAATGGACATTCAGGGTATATAGACTAATACAATACAAATAATTTAATTAATTTATTTATTTACTGAATCCAGCATTATCTGTTACTAACATCCATACTATCATCCATTATTTCTTGGTCCCTGCTTTCCAGGCATACTGCAATCTCATTAACATCTGATGTGCCATCAATTTGTGGGTCAGATTCTATAATCTGTACTGCAGGTGCCTTCATAGATAGAGCAATATCACCATCTGCAACTAATTCCTCTTGATTATTCTTAGAGCACGTGATTTGATGCTGAAGGTTCTTACGGCTGAATCTCTTTAACTTGAAGTTCTGCAGAAAACGCAACTCCCCATTCCAATTCCGAAGCATTGCCAACTGTTTAGGAATTGTAATATCTGGTATTTCTGGAAAGAATATGGTGAAAATTATTTAAAATAAAATTAATCATGGATTCATTTATTCAATATATGATACCACATTCTACAAAATCTGTTTTTACATAAGCCAGGCCATTTTGATTTCATATTCTAATTGACAGGAATAAAATAAATCAAGAATACTAACATATTAAGGAAGAAATATTTTTATAAATTATGAAACAGAGCTGCAGCAGATTAAAATGCTACTCTACCTGGTACAAACAGTAATGAACAATATAGCTTTAAGAATGTTATGACACCAAGTACCTACGTTCACTTAAAGCATACTGTTACTGGATTTGTGTGGTAGCAATACCTTAAATCCCAACTTCGTGGATATAATGAAAAACAATTTTCAGCAAAATTCTCATGAATTTCACAGACATGGGAGTGTCTGTGTATAATATCAGAAGGTGACCACATTAATGAACAATATACAGTACACTCCTGCTTAACCAGCACCCAAGCATCTCGAATTCTCACCCAAATGGCAAAAATTTAATATTTTTATAAAGGTATTCAAAAACAAATCTGTGATGTGCAAGTTCACCCACTGCACAATAATTCTCCTGCCTGCCACTAGAAGCACAACACATCATCCTCAATCATGTATGTGCCATTACAGTAGAGGCTAGATGAATATGTGATCATGTTACAGTATGTGTATCCACAATCTCCCACCCATCAGTCCTTTACATAACCAAGGAAGACTCTCTCACAAGAACTAATAAGAAAATGTGTTTTGACTCTCTATTGGGTTCTGTAAGAGCTTTTCTCATGTAACTGTGAAATGCATGTAATTGGCACACCCAATTCCCCATACATAATAATATGGATAACAAGACGTTTGTTGTATTTACATAAAGAAATTCACCAGCATGATTCAACTGCTAACATAACTACTGGTCATTTGTAACATTTTCCAAAGTTTCATAACTAAACAAACCCTTCCACAGCTCAGAATTTATAATGACTTTAAAGTTTTTTTAACAAACATTTTTCTCCTCTGTTTCATTCTTCCTATGACTGGACAACTTGTCTGTACTAATAACACATTATACCAATTTCAATTAGTTTTTTTTTTCAATTTTGCATTCATATTATAAAGAATATTTTTTCTTCTTCATTCAACAGGTGTTAGGCAAAGAATTAAATAATAAATTATTTCTATAATCAATTATACCATAAATTGTAAATATGATCCTGATTATTCAGCCATTCAAATATAAATTCTCCATATTTTATATAGTAAGCTAATGGGTACTACGCAGGATGAATGCACATGTGTCATTGATCATTATCCATTCTGCTGTAGAATTTGACTCAGATATGGAAGATATTTGGTTCTAATCCTAGCAAGTAACTGTCTATTCTGAGGGTCTCCATGGTTTTCTTCATTCCCCAGTCAAATGCTTGGAGAATACTGGAATATGAAGAAAACATAATATGAATGCTTTCACACTGATTACATTCTCTCAAATACTGTTCTTAATAAAGCTGATACTCATTTCTTCACAAGCTGTTAACTTCTAAATGCAATACAATAAAGATCCTTTTGCTGGATATATATAGTTTATCCAAACATATGAAATATAAAAACGACGAGAGACCAAAGCTGACACCAACAAAATTATACTGATGTATTTGTGCTATGCAGGACACCCCCTCCCCTGCCAGCGGTGACATAACAGTTTCAGAGCGCTGCCGCTGCTACGGTAACAGGCCAGTCAACACTCTGCCCCCCCTCCCCCGCGGTGACGTAACACGGGACCACTACTGTTAAACGAGGCAACAGGGAACAGTATAAAAAGCTGGCTGAGCAATATGTGAAGAGAGTGTGTAATCAGTAGTGACATAGTGCGGATCGTGAAGTCGCTGAGAGCAGTGGATGTAACTGTGAATTGTGTGAGTGCAAGAGTGAGCATTCAATAAATTCGCTATATCAAAGACGGCGTGAAGTTATTTGTTGCGCGTGACATACCCAACACGTGGCAATACATTTACTGCTGAATTATAGGTCATAAGTGGTACTGTAAATTGACTTACCTAATCCACATGTGTTGAACTCCTCTTCATCACGCAACAGGGTGAGTCGTATGATATCTTCTCTGTTTGCATGCTGCCTGTTTTTACGATTCCCAACAGCGTGTTTTAAACTAATCTGTTCTAGTTCTTCTTTAAACCTACCAAGATACCTAGAATTCAGGAATATGTTTTTGTGATTTCTGTTTATCTATTTACTTATGATCTATTTAACAATGATGTCAACAAGAACAATATATGTAAGTGTTGAATTTCCCAATTTGATTTTAATATATCCCTTTTTCATTGAGTATGTCAAAGGAGACCGGTAACAGATATGCTTACATATACAAACACAGACATCTGAAAATACCTGACCCTAACCTGCTGTGGGAAAGAGTTCCCACTGGAAATTTAAATTCTGACATGCCGAGTAACACCGGTGAAGAGGCCCACAGGGTTGTGAGACATCCAGGTTCCCACATTTTCTAGACAATTGGTTGTGAAGTTGTCAGCCTTACATGCTGGCCACCCTTTAACCCCAGGAAGATTCCTGGTACTCAACTGAAAACTCAGATGACCTCACTGGGAATTCAACCCATGACCTTCCAGCTTTTAGCATAGTACCTCTACCAACTACACAACCACATGATTCTTCTCACTCTAGTACCTTGATATATACATAGATTATAGTCTTTCATATGCAACACTTCACAGATTACTGGTTAAGCACCGTATAAGCTATGATTCATATACATTCAAACATCTTTCACTGACGTGATTCGTTCATAAACTGTGATACTGTTTTGCAATGCTTTACTGCATACACAATGTGAGAGTTTAAAAGCTTTTAAAAAACAAGTAGATACTTGTTAGAATATTTTTAAAATTATGTATTATGTCTTCTTACATTTTTCTTCGTTGTGTTCCATTTGTTATTGTGTGTTATTGCTGGCAGTGATGTGTATATTTCTTGGTTGTTTTATGGGTCTACATGCTGTGGTGGCTAGTGTATAGACTACACTTATACTAGTAAAATTAATTACATATATATTCTTAATTAAAACAAGCCCATTTGGCACACTGTTCATTTCTAAAATTTCCAGTGCTGTATTAACTCTTTTTCTAAATGAATAAAGCAGAAATGGACCACCTCTGTGGTCTACTGGTCAGAGTTCCTGGCTAGAGATCCAGAGGTTTGGGTTCAATTTCTGGCGCTACCAGATTTTCTGAGTAGTAGTGGGTCTGGAACGGGGTCCACTCAGCCTTGTGAGGATAAGTGAGAAGCTATTTCAAGGAAATAGCGGCTACGGTCTACAAAACTGAGATTAATGGCCGTGGGACCCTCCATCCACTAAAGTTGGCACTAACTTTGCTGAGAAGTGGTGGTCGCTTGGTCAGTATAGTTCGCTTGTGGACTACAGGTCATGCAGTTTGTTTTTTTGTTCTGGTCTGTTATATTCCAGTGCTTTTTCTGCTATTTGTCTTATTATAAATGTGGCATTTATACAAGAATTCCCACTTCTAAAACCCTGTCGTTCATCAGAGGAAGGCATACTTTCAATGAGTTTCTATGTGAGAACTTTATACAATACTTACAATTCAATTATGCTCAAAATAAGCTCAGGTGTGTACTCTGTCACATCAGGCACCAAATGATCTCGAAACCACAGGAACTTTTCTCCAATTAAATTCTGCTTCATGTGATGCACAAGTTTAATTTTCTCACGCCTAGAAATCCTGTGATTGTGAAAACACGAAGCATGGACATCTCTTAGAGAAAATTACTGCACAAGGTAATGTATAGGAGAACACTAGAATACTATCTGAGTAACACAGATTCATACTAAAGCAGACATTTTAACATTTATTTTGAACGCTTTCACCATACAAACCTTTGTTCCTGCAGTTATATTATTATATATAGATATTAGGAAATACCAGTAATTCATGTAAAATGGTAACTCAATTTTGCTGTTTATATCTGTAAGAGCTGCAATAGCTTGGTCAGAGTAATGACTGGTTATGGGCAGAACAACTGGGGTTTGATTCCCAGCAAGATCATATCCAGAAAAACTCTGCAGCCCATCCAGTGTTTCCTCCAATGGCAACCAAATGCCCTTTCCCCAAGCATAAGGTACACAGATTGTGACTCTGACCACTCATCTACATCTATGCTAAGAATGCATGGAGCTATACCTCCACTTCATCACTGTGTAGTGGTTATTTAAGCACAGGGAAACTTATCTCCTTACATCGGTAGTGATTATGCTGGCAGCACACAATAATGACACACTCAAACATTTCACTAGTTCTGACAGTAAATGATGTAAAGGTGAAGAGTAGAAACAATTCTGCAGACAGAGGCACAGATATGATGCAAATATTAAAATGGAATTACAGATGTATGATTCAATGATGTAAACTGGATTCATCTGACTCAAGACAGGTACATAAGAAGGGTTCTTGCGAATATGGTAATAAACTTCCTTTGTTCCATAAACAGCAGTGATATCCTTGACTAGAAGAGTGACTGAATGTGAGTGCTCTAATGAAATTAGTTACATAATTTGCCATAACACCTCTGAAAAAATCATATTTTCAGTATGTGTAAAGAAGTTTTCAAAATATACTAAAGATGTTACTGAATTCTTTCCTCATCAAGAAAAATCAAGTGACCCTGTGGTCATCTGTCTGAAAACCTCACTGTGAACTAATATACTTGAGTAAATTGTCCCTTTTCAGTGTTGAATAATGCTGTTGAGTTTCTTATTCAATGTTCCTCTTTGCTTCCCTTAATACATTCTACAGACAACAACATAATTCAATAAAATAAATTAATAATAATTAGCTTCATAAGAAGTCTTTAAAATATTAATTTCTAAAACATAAAACATATTTGCTATGTGAAAGTGAAAACGAACACATGAACCAAACTTAACATATGTTTCAGGTACAAATTATAATCCAATGTCTAAAAATCTTACTTTTTGGTTTCCTTTGTTAGCTGAACTGCCTTACGACTCTTTGGATGCAGTATTTTCTTTGACAGTTCTTTCTTTATAGACTTTGGCTGAAAAATAATTTATGGAATATAGAATACATTGCAACAGACAAAGAAGCATGCATTTTCTACTCACAAATCTTGAAAGTGTGAAGGCATTAAAAGATATCGTACAACATTTGAAATCAGGTAAAACTGTTAGGATTTAAATTTTGTTGAAGACATAAACAATCTATGCACTGACTTAACTCTGAACTACTGTGGCAACTGACTCCTACAGTGCAATCACAAATTATTCAGCCACTCAGGCTGCATCTGACATGCTTTCCAACAGCTGAAATGCTGTGATTCGGACTGACAGCAGATGTGATAAGCATACCACCCAAAAAACTACTAATATGTACCCAGGTTACTGCAGATGTTGGAAATGTCCTTTGCTCTCTCGCTATATCTCTGTCACACAAACACACAGAGGGTGTAGGGAGAGTGTGTCCTGATACCTCCATAAAAATCTACATTCAAGAGCTGAAGCTCTTTCTTAGAAATACAGTGTACTTAAAATTAAAAATCCCAGACTCCTGTGATATGCATCTGAGGGATATGTAAACAGAATGTTCAAGCCTAGTACTGATTTCATCTTTTCAGTGAAGCAAGAGAGAAAATTTCCTCCATTCCCTATACAGTGGGTAAGTTTTATTTTTTATTTGTTATGCTATATGTTTGTCAATTCACCTACCAACCAAGAACTTCTTGGCATGAGTATATGGTAGGAGTGTCAGACTCCTCCACCTCAGCAACTCAACGATTTGAGGAACGCTCTAAGGTGACTGCACTGTAGTGTTATAACCAGACAACATTAAGATCTATACGTCCATGATGATGGTATATTAATAAATTTATTGCATTTTTTGGCATTATCCACTGTCCTGTTCTTATTTTAAAAAATTGAAAATAAAAATTAGCCAAACATTAATACAAAGAAGGCCACAAAAGTGTTGGAAACATGTGAAGTTTTTGCAGGTTGAACTTAACACAACCTACAGGAAATAAATGAATCAGCCCACCTGTCACTGATAGCTAATCCAGTCAGTCAACCCAGCTCAGATCTCTCTCCCATCTGGACTCCCATCAATGAAGAAAAAGTTAAAAAATTTAACTGCATTAAGTTTATATTAGGCCACGCCATAGCTCAAGTGGTTAGTTGCTCGCTTCCCACCGTGGCGGCATGGTCAAGAGAGATTTGCGGTGGACAAAGTGGCGCTGGGGCAGGTTTTCGCAGAGTACTTCAGTTTCCCCTGCCAATCTTCATTCCACTAACTGCTCCACAATCACCCTCACATATCATCTGGGGCTGGTACAATAGGCCAGAAGTGGCCGCAGTAAAACGAACTTAGTCCCACCCCACTAGCAATAAAAATAAAAAGTTTATATTATACGGGAATGTTCCATTATTACGTTGGTACTTTATAGGTGTCTCATTTGTGTAACACCTATCAGTAGTGATTTCCATGCTGTTTGGTGATCTGTTATTTAAGAAATTTCATCTGCTTGTAACTTAATCTTCTGTATCTGTTGAGTATGTATAGCTATCTGTGATTTTAAAGGTCAAGAGACTATTCCCTGTCCTTGATTTTATAGTATTTACAGTTCTCCTTTTTAGAATTTGACTCTACAGTTTCAGCTTCTGTTTTAGTCAGACTCTGATTTTATTGATCCTGGCTGTTACACTATGCATGGCCATAGGTGCTAAGCCTCATGTGTATGACATCTTAAAAATGTTTGTCTCAATTCTCACAAGATGGTTTATGCTGTTTGGTTTATATAACCTGCACCATGTTGGTTCCAAGTTCCAAAGATAGGATCAAGCTCTACTGACAGGGCCAAAGAAAGTAGGCTTCTATGCGACGATGGAGGCAAGGTCCAGTGCAATAGATACCCATAGAGTCAATAACTATATAACAGACACTGCTGTTAAGAGAAAAAAGAAACTTCAATACCCATCTTAAAACACGTGAGGTCTATGAAACGTTGGTTTATAACTCAACACTGACACAGCTGATTGCCCAAGCAGACTTCAGTGCATTTAATCAACGTGGAAGCTTCAAATCTTATAGTGTTAATGGCATTTTTAATGTAGTCACTTTCAGAATAAATGCATAAAATTAATCAATATAACTTTGCTTGTACAACTGCAAATGTATGTCAATATGCATAACTAAATAACAATTGTATTTATACCAGAAAGTCCTCTCTTCACACTAAGCCCCCCTCCCTCCAATACATTCAGACACAAATGTCATGATTTAAAATATTCCATGCACAACTTTAAAAACACCTCATGTGCAAAGGTTTTGAAGTTCCCTCTAACTTGCACATTCCCTCGGATAAAAGGATAATTGTAGTATCCACATTAACAAACGTCTATCAAGGTAATGTTGGTGAAGCATACACTCTTAAGCCAGGTCCAGACTTGTTACGTATCCCCGTATCATATCTCTGTTGCGTATCATCCGATGCAATGCGACAAAATTTTGCATCCAGAGTTGTTGCATATCTCCGTTGCGTATCAACTGATGCAACACAACAAAATTTCTCCTCCCAAGAAGGCAATGAAGAAATGATGAGCTGAATCTCAGTTTCGAGCCAGATTTCGATCAGCAATGACTACACCTAACCTGAAGGTAGCAGCGGCCATGTACATCTATCTTCACTATGCTATAAAGGAAAGAAATAAATAAATCACGATGTTTGTGGATATCACCGATCTATGCCAGCATGGATGTATACAATGGGTCCCATCTTTTGGCGGACTTAAATTTTCAGTCAGTCAGTGGGGATGTACAAAAATTTCACAAGGATGCATCTGTCAGATTTTGAGTTGTTGATAAATTTGATTGGGCCAAAAATTTGTAAAAGATACTGTGTTCAGAAAAGCAATTCCTGTTCAGGAAGGACTGGCTGTAACACTGCGACTTTTGGCAACTGGAGACTCATGTCAGTCTTCAATACCTCTTCAACATATCGAAGCAAACAATCAGCACCATTGCCCCTGAAGCTTGTGGCGCTCTTGTGGAAGCACTGAAGGACTTCATTAAGGCTAGTGAATACTTGTTATTAACCACTAAATGAAGCAAACAATATGATTTCTTGTTTCTTGATTACTTTATTTGATATTTCTGAAATAAAACAGAGCTTGCACATTACAGCAAAACTAAATGTGAAATATCGATTTGTTTTAATAATTTAATTTTGATGCAGGTATTTCTGCATTAAAGGCACTTGTGTACAATCATTACATCTACACATTTATATAAGGTCCTGAATAAGGAAGTCATCTTCTGAGGCCATAGCTGGTGAAGGAGATTGAGGGGAGGAAACTGTTGAAGGTGTATTCAGGACAGGTTGCCGATTGCTGCTGGGAAAGAATTGAGGGGAAGAAGTTGGGGAGTGGCATTTGGTGACCCTTTGTAGTAGAGGAAAGAATTTGGGCCTGTTCTGTAAGTCACAGTGCTGTAATTTTTACAAAAACCACTGCTTGCCCTAAGAAAAATACTCATATCGTTCTGGATAGCACAGTGAATAGATTCATCGTATACCCTCAATTCGCAGGTTAACAAATTTTCAAAGTGTTAGCATTTGTCGTTCTTTTCGTTGGGTGATGCTGTTAGTATTTTGAAAGCTTTGTCAAGTGGCTGGTCTTCATCACAGACCTTCTGTTTTTTCTCATGGATGTGTGCAGGGGTTCTTCGTCGTAGTCACTGCCTTCAACTGTCTCTGTCTCACATTCTCTTGGAACCTATAACAGTTTTTTGTTCTTTGTATTTACAGATACCAAAAACAGAACAGGAATAGCTGGGAGTGGCTAATGAGTTTGAAAGGATGTGCAATTTCCCACTGTCTGGGAGCTATTGACGGAAAGCACAATCGCTCTGCAGTGTCCTATAAACAGTGGTAGTGAGTACTTCAACTTCAAAGGCTTCTTCAGCTTACTACTCCTCGCTATATGTGTGATGCCAACTACAACTTCATATTTGTGGACATAGGGCGCCAAGGGAGGATTTCAGATGGTGTTGTGTTTGCAAATTCTGAGTTCTGCAAAAGGATAACAAGAAACAGTCTGAATCTACCTCAGCCTGCTCCGCTCAAGGGACGGAGAGCTTTACCATTCTCTTTCATTGGAGATGAAGCCTTTCCCATGTCTGAAAACTTGATGAAAGTTTATCCTGGTTACCATCCGAAGGGCTCCAAGGAACGGATTTTTAACTATATACTGAGCAGAGCCCGTCAAGTTGTAGAGAATGTGTTTGGTATCGTTTCCTCAACCTTTTGTGTGCTTCGGAACTTTTGTAGACTTCATCTGCTCCTAAAAACCGTGAAAATAATAATTTGAAATGATAAGAATGAATAATGAAAGCGTTACTCACTATTTAATTAACATTTCATTTATGAAGTACTCACCTTTTCCCGTTCCCCTCTGTTTCTTCATCTTCATTCTCTCTTTCCTTGGTGAAGCCGGCAAGTACTCCATTTTTCTTTTAGATTCCTCAACTGATCTGTTCAGTTCCTTTCCTACCTCCTCCCATGAGTCCTGCCTTTTTATTTTATTGAAATGTTCTGTTTTGGGGGTTCCAAATCAAGTCCCTCTTCTTATATTCATCGATTAAATGTATAATGAACTCCTTACTCCACTCCATTCAGAGTAGAAACATAGAATCAAAAATAGAAGAACGCACACTGGTGATGACTATACACTCAAACTGTCCTTTGTGCGGAGCTGAGAAGCAAACTCCGATGCAACGAGTGCACGTCCAGACTGGGACCATTGCAACGCGTGTCGTCCCTTTGATGCGACGACAAAAGACCGCCAAGTGAGCTAACAGCACGTTGCGTATCGCCGTATCAACATTTTGCAACGGAAGGATGATACGGGGTACCTTCCACACTGATACGATACAGGAATACGCAACAACTCTGGACTCTGCTTTACAGTTTCATTGAAGTTTACACGTGATCATACCACATAACAAATCTGATACATACCTGTACATTCACTGATTTTTAAGCAGACACCATTTTCCAAAATCATTTCCAGCATTTGTCGCTTTTATAGATATAAAGCGCAGTATATCACCATTAAAGACAACACATCAAATAAATAAACATTCTTTTACTCACCATTTTTTAAAAGTTAGATATAACCTCCAACATCCTATTCACAACCTCATACAGGAAGACTATTAGAAAATCGGCGGACCACGGATCGTCATTGCAATACCGGTCAGGAATACCCATGGACTTTGGGCCACATTCTATGAGACACGGATCAAATACGTTAGAGATGCTAGTGTTACCACCTAGTGAGTTTGGATGTAACAAAATAATTAGCTCAATTCTGAAATGGTTGGGGGGAGTTCTGATAAGTGTGCGTAGTAAATTGGTGGCTTCGCCTGAACCCAGCTACCTTTTTGAATCCCACAGAGTAAGGTGGGGGTACGATTCTGTCACAAATATTCGGAATATCAACTGGTGCCATTAACTGACCTCACGCATTACCAGCTGTACCGATATTACCTTTTCCTACAATGCACGATGGAGATACGCGCGTTGTGAACAAACCTAGATTGAGGATGCCTGCCATCTGTAGTCCAAAAGCTTTAAATTCAAGCCCGGCGTCGGTAGCTTGTTACCTAAGATGATAGGCAGTGCACAAAACTGACGTAGCTTGCCTCGGTGTAACCCAGTACAATTCACTTTTTTGTTTCATAATACATACACACCCAAAAAAAAAATCCGTGTCTTGAGCCCGCAAGCGAACTATACCGACCGAACACCACCACTTGTCGGCTAAGTTAGTGCCAACTATAGCGGATAAAGGGTGTCGCGTATGTACATACAGATAGCATGGCCTCAACGCTAATAATTATTGATCTTACTAACAAATCCATTCACTGAACAAGATGGCTCAGGCCAAGACGCTTCTGACTTGAATTCTGGGTATGTTCACTTTGAATTACAGTGGGAATAGTGGGACTGGCCTGACTGAGGATTAATGTGGATTTCCCCAGTCTTCCATCACATAAATGCAGAGGCTCTCGCATGAATATAGCAGTGATGAAAAAGATAATACATTTAAGGTGGAAAAGATGATTTAATTAATTTTATTGCTGTTAACTGATAACTTGTTGTTGGCAGCAAAATACAACTATTATCTGACATATTTCTTTTACGACATGTACTTATATAAGTATGTGGGTACACGTGTAAAATTCAACTTCATATTCTTTTGAAAAATTTCCAGACTTGCCAAGCCTTAGGAAAACACTCCTAATGCAATTGTTACTGACATGCTATTCATGTAGTGCATTTTTCCTGCAAAATTTGTCTCTAATATTTATATTGACATACTGATATACTTGACTAGTATGGCTTCTGATGTCCGAAAATAAAATTTTTGTGTTTTTATGTTTATAATAATGACTATGAAAAAATAATATGTGTAATGTGTAATGAATGTCATGATAAAGTTAAACAGTATAACTAATGGCTATGATACACTACAATAACATGTACTCTATAATGTTTCCTAACTTATTGTTATGCACCTTCATTATAATTCTTTTCACTGGGTAAGAAATTAACATATGTATCTGGCAAGAGTTCATTCATTTCCCTTATTTTCCATATATCCATACAGGTACCCAAACCTATGATGTGGAAATGGTCTCTTTGAAAATACTTATATCAAGATACATATACAAAATTACACATAATCAAATTCACTTATATTACTCAATTAACATAAATAATAATATAAAGTAAAAATCTAACAACTTACTATAAAACTTGAATTAATACAATTTTATTTATATTACCTATATTAACTAAATTAAATACATTACAAATTTACACACTTATGACCAATTATGTTGATAATATTCATCCATGGAATAAAAAGAATGATGATATAAAAACCTCTTCAGTGCAGATTTAAAACTTCTCACATCAGTAGCCAACATTTTTATTGTTTGAGGGAGATGATTAAAAACTTTAATACCTGCTATATATGCACTTTTATTGTATTTTGTTAGGTTAACTGCAGGTAAATATCTAGGGCTCTAGTTTTGTATTTGTGAATCTCATTGTTAAAATTAAATAAATGTTTATTATTAATTGTGTATAAAAGTAATGTATATATGTACTGAGAGTAGAACATCATTATTTCCAAATTCTGAAAAATGTCCTTACAAGACTCTCTTGGTCTAGAATTCGCTATAATTATAATAACTTTCTTTTGAAATATAAAAGCTTTGTTAACACAAGAAGAGCCTCCCCAAAAGATTATACCATAACTTATGCTAAAATGTGTATGAGCAAAATAAATTAGCTTTATTATATTATATACAGGATTCTTAGACTGAAGAGAAATTGTCTTCAAGAACAGCTTTAACTAGTTGGCCTTTTTGTAATGGAGAAACAGTACATGCTGTGAGGTAGGACCTAATTTCTAAACATTATTTAGGCCATTTTCAGGCTTCAAAGCTCTTCCACTCATCTCATTAATTTGGTTAACACAGCAACTCAATCGAGCAGAGACCTGCTTAAGAAGCTCTTAAAAAGTTCTATACTTTTTGTGGAATTCCAATGTTGTGTGTCCTGCTAACAAGAGTGTGCATGGTTAATACAGTTAAGACATCTAAACATTTTTTAAATTAATTTCCTGCAGACTCTCACTAATCACTCTGCCATACATTTATAAAAATGTATGACTATCGTTTGAACACATTTGCTACTTTCCCTAATTCTTCATCACTCTGCCATACATTTTGTATGTATGTATACATTATGTATGACTATCAGTTGAACATATTTATTACTTTGCCTAATTATTCATCAAGCACATGTGTGGCTACAAAATGCTAATGCTTCAAGCATAATCCCTTTCTCCCAACCTCCCATTCTGACAGGCTGTATTACAAAACCTAATACTTTTCCTAATCAATGATGGATTACTCTATCAGTTAAAAACTGGCTAAAGCCTAGGACAGACATAACACAGTGATTGCTCAGGCACTTTGCTCAAGATACAACATTCTTTAGCAATTTAACTATAATGACAATAATTATTAAGCAGTAAAATTTTCTCCTATCTGTACAAATATTTTAATTGAAAGGGCAAATTATTTTACTTTAATATCACTCTTGCATTAAAATCATGTTAAACTTTTTGATTTTCCTGCACACATGCAATGCACACAATTATTTCAATTAATATTCAGCCTATATGACAAATCTAATGTTTGTTTAATGCAGCAGATTGCACTGCCTTGTTTTCATAACTTAGGTATTACTTACAAGAAGTAAGTTTGAAGTAAGTTTGAAGTAAGAAGTTTGAACAAGTGTCTGTTAACCATTTTATTATTACTGTGAAGTTTTGCATATGTGATCATGAATTATATTTTGGTGAAATATACACGGTATGTGTATGACTATGCATTGTAGCATGTTGGCTTGCGTGCTTTTGATTTCTGTTATTGACTAAGTTGCACCTGAAGTTGTCAACTATTTTTATGCTTATTTTATATTATATGACTAATCTACTGTTTTTGATTGTTTAATAAGTGAATTTTGTATGATAAGTGTCTCTTTTATATGCATTTTAATTTGACGCACTTGATTAATGGAATGAGTAATGAATGAACGTCTTAATGGAAATTTTATTTTATTTTAGTCCATGATAAATCTTGATAAATTTCTTGATCATTGTTTAATGTGTATTATAAGTATTATAAGTTTACCTCATTTAATTGCAATATTACTGTATTATTGTATAGATACTATGTATTCTAACTTGACTTGTTCCATATCCTATGGTGTCTCACCTGTACTGGATTTACGGAAGGTAAATAAATTCAAGTCAATTCAATTCAATTCAACTTACATACTCATGGAGCTGAGCCCTCCTCCATCGGCAACCTGAGGACGTGCCATGTCGTGGTGACAAGGGACCCACCTAACATGGCATAACTTAGGTATATATCTGTTAATAGTTCATGTAGTATTGTATGTATGTAAATAAATCACTCTAATATGAAGATTCCTCTCTCCTTTGCTGAATTTCTCATAAACTTGATTTTACTAATGTCTCTGTTATCCAAAGGAATACTCAGTTTTCCTATTTGTTTCACACTATTTGTAGAGTCGTGCATTTAGTAAATACTTCTCATCTAGTGTAAATATTGACTCCAAAGTACGTAAAAGTAATATGGGAAAGGAGGATAATATTCATTACTGTTTAGATTATATTCTCAAATGTTACTTTCTTTCTTCAGGCATAGATTATGTAAAATGTGTGGCCAAAGAGTAATATTTAAAGCATTTTCTCATTTGAAAATTTTGTCAGTGGAATATAATGTAATGTGGACAAAAATGTACAGACAGTTTAAGTATACTCTTGTTTCTGAAAATGTTCAATTTATGATGAAAGCGTCTTGTAAATGAAGGTAAAAGAATTTGGGTAACAGGTGCAGTGTCACTATTGCTTGGATGAGTTTGGGAAAGGGAAACAATATAATATCTGGCTGAATGATGGGTTCTACACCCTAAGAGACATAGTAAATGGAGTCTGTAGGTGGGAATACAAACAAAAATTCTTAATTACATATCAGAAATTTACTTCATAGCCTGAATAAAATATGTCATTAAATTCCTACTTACATTACTTGCATAAGGGGCATACACGAATAAGCAGAAGTTAATGAAAATATAACAGATCTTGGTAAAACATGGTGCTGATGTTTTAATTTAAGAAATTATGGTGTATTCTAAGATTGTGCAAATATAGGGAATGGCAAAACTAATGCATATTAACCTGAAATTTATATTCTAAGAGCTGCATATGCATAGAATAATATTTCATTCTTCAGTTTCAATGTTATCATATTATATATCGTTTTAATCTTGAATGTTATAACATTTACTGAAGTGCTCCATTATAGGTATTAGTAAGTGAAATAATTTAAAGCTGTATAAATTGATACATTGTCTAGTTAGTTAGTTAGTTATTTAGAGAGGGTGGGTTTCCCCCTGCACCATGACCAGTTTGATCTATTGTGCTTCCCTCTATGATATTCTACCAGTCTCTATACCCTACCAATAAATGGCAAGTACCATCGGTCCCACCGAGCAAGTGAGTTCGGCCACTTGCTTAGCGGTGTCTATAATGCTTCCCCCATCTATCAGAGGCCTTTTTTCACACTTTTTAACTGATCAATGGTAATACACAACATACATTTGCATACTTGGTTTCCCAGGTCATTTTACATCTGTTCAGCTTCTTGCCTTCTGTACTAATGAACTGTGCGGCAGATCCTACATGCAGTCACAAACTGACAGTAAAATTAAGGACAATTTATTGTAAATGTAAACAAATTTCTAAACAGGATGCAGTAGTTGCAGTGCTTGAAAAAAGCATGAAGACGTTGCTTTTATAAGACAATATTTACAACATGTTTCCTTAGTGCTAGTGATGGGTATATAACAGGGCAGTGAGTACAATGGCTATTTTGGAATAACCCTAAGAAAACGTTTTCCAGTCATGTGGAAACACTGGGCATGGAATCCATGTATGAGTAGTAGAAAAATTCTGAATTATATCTGTGGGCCTTTAACTGGAAATATTGCAAATTAACAGGTTCTGCAGTAAAAGTAAACAAGTAAAGGCCATGAAGGCCCATAGGGTTGTGAGACGTTGAGGGTCCCACATTATCTAGACAATCGGCTCAAAGATGGCGGTAAGGTTGTCAGCCTTACGCGCCGGCCGCGCTTCACTCCCCAGGAAAATTATATATTTAATTTCGTGGTACTCATTTCTGTTAGAGGCTGAGTGAACCCCAGGGCCATAGTGCGGCCTGAAGGATTAGGTCAATTGAAAAAAATCCAATGACCTCATCGGTATTTGAACCTGCGACCTTCCAACTTGTAGCATAGTACCTTAACCACTATGCCGTGTGCCCCCAAGGTTCTGCAGTTCAGACCTAAAAATGAAGAAAGTACATTAAGGTATCTTTACATGTTATATGAAATCTCAGTAAAGAAATTATTGCCTTGATCTTCTTCTGTTAAAAATCAGTGTCTTAATTGATATGCTCATATAAATGACAAACCACAAATATACCTGATGATGGCCATTTAGGCTGAAACATGTAAAGTAAAATAAATAATAATAAGAGGAAAAGAGCCTTGAAGGGTGAATTCAATATATGGATGGAGTTGCACAGAGGTGATGAAATAAGAATTCTAAAAGTGGGACACACAGAGCAACAGGATGCTTCAATACAATATAATGAACTTATTTTTGAGTCTATATAGAGACATATAAGAACAGTGAAGATTACAAAACTAGAATTAATTTGAAGTGAAAAGCAGTGTTAGTGTAATTCATCACATGCTTAATCAACCCACTGAATATCATGTTGAAACCTGGATCTTTTGTGAGTCTGTCTGTGTGCTGAAGCACTCTGTTGGTCACATATTGATTCAGCCCTGTCCTTACCAGCCCACTTAATAGCTACCCAGTGACCAATAAAAATTCGGTGCTTCCAGAGCTTTTCTGATAAACCCACACAAATTGCTGCTGCCAATCCGCCACCTAACACTAGGAATGCAGAATACACATCTGTCAAGCTTGCACTGTTGAATGCAGAATAGGCCTGACAGCGTGGCATGGGTGGTAGCATACGTTCCTGTATGGGTCCTAAAACTCCTGCTTCTCTCATGCGTAGCAAACTGTAAGGATGGGCAGAAGTTACTGAATTAATGTAAGTTATAGTTATGCAACATGCTTGAAAATAGCATCAGAAAAGTGATCAACATGTTCATTATGCTCATACTTAACTAAGGTATTTGGAAAAAATAAATAAGGGACAAAGGAAGAAAAGTGGTCAGGATTTAGAAGGAAGCAGTCACATTCAGATAATATCTTTACTTCTTATCAAATCACTGATAAATACAGATAATTTAGTAAAGCAATATATGTTGATTTTTTCAGCTACATAAGATCTATGTTGGTTTTGAGGTTTTCACAGCAGTGACCATAAATATATCTTCTGGGATATAACATCGTCTAGTGCAGTGAAAGCAAACCAGCGTTTTGGACGAACATGTCACCTTCATCTTGAGGGCTGAAGAGTAAGCCAAGCAAGAAACCACCATGAAATAGAGAGAAAGTGGTTTCTTGCTGGGCTCCTCTGTTCTCTCAGAACATTGGTTGATTTTCACTGAAAAACACAAGAGTTATATCTGAGAAGATATATATGTCTATGTATATGTGTGTGTGTGTATATATATATATATAGACAGACAGATGGCTAGATAGATCTCATCAAAGTTGATGGATTCCAATTAAAAGTAGTGACTGGTTACCCCATACTCCAAGTTATGTTGTGTGGTTAATATTGATATATCAATCAAAACCTTACTTTTATTATTACTGTTTACAATTTTGTGAATATTCAGTACCTGAGATTGATGAGTCGTCTATATGGCGATGTAGTGCCCATAGGCAAAGCAATGGAGCTCTTGGTGGCTTCTACTGTGAGCTCCTGAATAGCACACCGCTTGTCTTGTGCAATGAAAGAATTCAGTGCTTTCCTGCCCAGCCGTGCTGATACAAAGAATGCATAGCCTCCATGAGATGCTTTCAGTAAACCAGAAGAGGCTTCATGAACTCCATGGTTCCTTACCAAACCTCGCAAATACAGTCGACGTAATGCAGTGTCATTAACTAACTGCCAAGAAACAAATTTAATGTTTGTTAACATGAAGCAAAGAAATGTAATATTTGGCAATGGTGGTACAGAATTATGGAATTTCTTTACTTTTAATTTACCTTAATCTATATCTTATTTGTGCACAGAAATCTTCTTCGCTTTATTTTCAGTAAGTTCATCAGTTACTCTGTCCATGGTTGCCATGGAAAATGTCGTCAAATGACCACAATATTTCATTGCCACAAATTAAATTCTGAAGTTTTTTTATTAATCCCGATTTGCTAAATGCAATGGAAACTGAGTTTCACTCAACTGTTCCCGCTAACAAACTGTTTTGTGACACATAACTTCCTAGTCCATTTTCATGTATTTATTAATTACCATATATCTTTGATTCTAAGATGCACATTTTCTTTCACATTTTGATATACTGAGACTGGGTCTCATCTTACATTTGACGGTGCCTAAGAATCAATGTCGAAAAGATATATTGAATGATTAAATGCCAAGGGAGACCTTCACGTGCATAACAATAGCCATGGGGCAGTAAACATAAAGATACGAACAACAGATATTCCAAAAGTATTTCTATGTATTTCGGTTGTCAAAATGTCATTACGCGTGGCAGTGCATACGACACCTGATGGGAATTCGAAGATGAAAATACCAAGAATTTTTAATATTAACTAACGCTCTGAGATGAAGAAAGATAGTTCGCATTGTTGAACATTCGGTTATTATATCAGTTTACTGTTGTATACGCTTAATACTACATATGTGTATTTTAATTTTGACAAGAAATTTGAGCCCCAAATAACATAGAAAATTGCCACTTTCCATTGTCTTAGAAACGATTATATTATGACGCGGTATTGAAGTGGGAATTCGTTGCATACGCAAAGAACAGAGCTATAAGATGCAACTTTACAATAAGCTTCACAGGGCCAAAGAAAGGAAAAAAAAACATTGACGTGGATGCTGCAGTCCTCCATTTCTTCATAGAGACGGCTGCAAAGGGGATGTCTATCACACAGCAGACTATGCAAGTAAAGGCAAGGGCCGTGACATGGATCAAGTGGTTAGTCGCCGGTTTCCCACCTCGGAGGTCCGATTTCGAGCCCGGGTCAGGTCATGTGGGATTTGTGGCGGACAAAGTGGCAAGTTGTCTCCGCGTTCTTCTGCTCCCCTGCCAATTCGCATTGCACCGATTGCTCCACAATCATCATCATCTATTATCGGAGGTTGGTACAATAGGTCAAACAGTGGTCGCAGTACCGAGTTGACTCAGTCTCACCCCATGAGGAAAACAAGTAGTAAAGTCAACAAAAATTGCCAAATCATTCGAATTAAAAAATTGTAGAGCTGGTGAAGTTCACGTGACTGATTCATGCATCCTGATTCACTGTAACTCAGGCACCGAACATCCATATGTCAAAACATATTAGTGTTTTTCAACAGAAGCTGATAAAACTTCTAGCGATGCGTCATTATGTTACTGAATAACTAAAACTGTCCGTTTAAGCATTCAAGAATTGCAATGATATACCTCGGAATTACACTGTTGATGATAGAGGTGCAAAATAAGTTAAAATTAGAAGCACAGATTATGAAAATCAGCAACTAACAGCGGTGCTGTGCATAACAGCTGATGGCCATAAATTACAACAGCAGATTATTCTCAATCGCAGAATAATACGTACATAAGATGTTCCCTAAAGACGTTATGTGCGCGCACAAAAACGTGTGAATGACAGCTAACTTGATGGAACTCTGAACGAGAAATGTCTGGGAAATAGGCCCTGGAGTACACGGTAACCCACCAAGTATATTAGTCCTTGACGCCTTTCGTGGATACCTGTCTGACGAACTGAAGGTTAAACTTGCGAGGAACAACTGTAAACCTGTCGTGATTTTTGATGGCATGACTAGTCAGTTATAACCACACGACGTATCGGTTAATAAACAATTCAAAGATTATTTAAGGAAGGAACACGATGCCAGGTTGCTATCGGAAAATCTTCCACTAACATCATCTGATAAGATCAAGAGGACATTTTCTTAAAATCTTGAAGGATGGGTTTCGGAACTTTGGAAGATGGTAGAAGAAGCAGTGAAACATACATTCTAGTAATACTACATTGAAAACGCACTTGAAGGCACGGAAGTTGATATCTTATGGGGCAATATCGATCTTGACTGCAATGAATTAAAAAGCGTCTTAGAAGAGTCTGTAGGCTTGAAGTATGAGACTGAAAGCACAGACGAAAAGGACTGTGAAGAGATGCATTTGCTTAACTTAAATTTTCCATTTTGTATTTATTTGTTTTTGTTAATAAAATAATTTTTGTGTTTGAATACTGACAGTTCCTGCTGTAATATATGTATTTGCTTTTTCAACAGAAAACCTTTTTCTAAATCAATGGAGAATCTTCTACTTGAGGAAATACGTTATAAGGTTTTCATATAAGATTTAAAAACAGCTTTATGATGTGAGTAAAGATTCTTATTAATCTCAGACTTTAATAAAGCCAGGAATCCTTGTCAAATTAGCATGTTTCCAATGCCATAATAAGAAGCATTAACACAAAAGTCCGAAAAGAATGACATTCTTTTGAATACTTTTGAATACTGAAGGGCAGAATTTTTAAATTGTTCTTTACTATTTGTCGTTATAACAACTGACATATTCGCAGATATAGTGCCTATTACACCTATTATTTAGGACTGGCAAGCTGATATAAGATTTATATGCTACATTACTATCGAATCAGCTTATGTTCTCTATTTATTATGCTGCTAGATATGGGGTAGTTTTAAATTATATAAATGAAGAAACATTAACGTGAGGGAATTTGAATAGCTGAAAACCCTATTCCATCTCCTGATGACAACACTTCATGTAAGGTATATCATTCAATTATCACACTCTTTCTATGAATCTGCATAAATACGCCATAAAATTTATTTGAATACCGTCCTCGTTTTATATAAGAAAATATTATGGAAACTGTGAATGACGCAACTATTAATATAAAATATTTATGTTGGATTTGATGTTCTTAGAACGGTGACTATGAGGAGTTCTGTCTTCTGAAAGTCAGCCATTTACCGAACTTCACCGTGTTGCACCCCAGAAATAGAATTCTTCAGTATATACGAGCTAGTACGTATATTTAAATTTTTGTGGACCAGTGAATCTAGTTAGTTAGGGAACCGGGACAGCTCAGTCGGTATACTGACGGGCTAGGGGATAGATGACGGCCGGGGTTCGATTCCCGACAAGGGTAAGAGATTTTTCTCTACTCCACAGAGTCAAGACCGGCCCTGGGGAACAGCTACGCCGGAGGTAGGGCAACAGGAGCGTGGAGCTAACCGCTCACCTAGTGCACAATTCAAGAATGGTGGAGTTACAAATCTACTCCCCGATAAGTTTTCATGGCGTGATGCTTAATTAGTGAGACACAGGGGCAAATTTACTTTTTTCCTTTACGTAGTTGGTTATACAAAATCGGCTGTTTTAACTTATAGTCACGCAGTTCATGCTATGGTATTATTTAATTAATTTCAAAATAATTATGAAATATGGGCATTTAACACTGACATGAAGCATCCACAAGTTATGGAGATGACCGTCAGGCATGGAGGGTAGCTTTCGCTATGTTGAGTAGCTCTACGTAAACATTTGATAGCATTATGCAAGAAGAACTTAAGTTTCAGTTCCAGATACGTTAATGTACCAGGATGCAATGAAAACGTATAAAACGTTTTAACAATTTACCTTTAATAGCATTTAGAATGATCAAGTCAAGGAGGATGAGGTGGGCAGGGCATGTAGCACAAATGGGGGAGACTAGGAATGCGTATAGGATAGCGGTCGGAAAGCCAGAAGGAAAGAGACCACTGGGAAGACCAAGGCGTAGGTGGGTGGACAATATTAAAATGGAGAGATAGAGAGATAGTATTGGATGGTATTGATTGGATTAATCTGGTTCAGGATATGGACCAGTGGAGGGCTCTTGTGAACACGGTAATAAACCTTCGGGTTCCATAAAATGCTGAGAAATTCTTGAGTAGCTGCAGAATTGGCGTCTCCTCCAGAAGGGTTCAGCTCCATGAGTAAGTAAGCAAGCATTTAGTCATGAAGTTCTGCTCCAGTATCTATTGTGATGAATCGGTTTATTCAGTACAGGATCTTATCACGTCGAATATTATATTTTAAATCTATTTTTTCCTTCCTCTAATGTAGGTACTCATAATCTAGCACTGAACTCTGAACAACACGAAAGCACAGTAGACCACTGTAGGTCGCGGTGCAAGGGCCGAGGAGTCCTACACCTCATACATTCATTGAACAACACAAAACCCATTCTGTAAACTGTGTACCCATACAAGAAATTCACTAGACAACTCACCCGAAGAAAAGCCTCGTCCTGTCCTCCTAGGGGGTAGCCGAAATGGAAATCACTTTCAAGGAGGTCTCCCAGACCTCTGATAGACGCAACACGAACTGACAGAACAGATGTTATGAAGGCGGCATAAGCATTATAAATTACCAGAGCAAAACATAAGCTGAAGATAAGTACCAGACTTCCTGATGGAGATTTTGGACTCCATGAACTACCTACAAGAAAACACAAATTTCACTTATTATAATGACAGCACAACCTTCTTAATACTCTATAACAAAATTATTATCATTACCTTGCATACACAGAACACTAACACTCCACACCATTGCTTCGCCAAGACTCCATTTTGTTTTCAAATTCTTGCTGTTACTATTAGATTCCCTTCTTTTGTTCCCTTTGGCTACGGAAGCGTTAACTAGTACCATAGCTGTGGCAATCACTACTCCAGTAGCGACCACACTAGCTAACAAACGAGGACTAAAAGGGGCCAAAAATATGTCACGCATGGCGCCATTCTCTGGTCGACGAAAATAGATGTTTCTCCTTAAAACAGAAAGAGACAAAATCTTTCAAACACTAGAAACATTTATTATACTTATTAATGTCTGAAACTGCAGTATTCTGCTGTAAAATTGAAGGAGATATTTGAAGTTCATAACGGGTACAGTCAGTATGGGTTATTGCACTGCCATTTAAATTCATTACATCCTGCAGCCGGGGCACGTGGTAGCTTAGATGGTTGAGGCACTATGCTACAAGCCGGAAAATCGCGATGAGGTTTCGCGATGAGGTCATTAGATTTTCCAACTGACCTAATCTTTCCAGCTGCGCTATGGCTCTGGGGTCGACTCAACCTCTAAGAGACGTGCAACCAGAATCTTCCTAGGGGTTAAAAGAAGGTCGGCGCATAAGGCTGACAACCTCGCGGCCATATGTGAGCCGATTGTCAAGAAAATGTGTGAAACTCGACATCTCACAACCGTGTGTGCCTCCATGGTCTGTTACAGGAATAGCTTCACAGTGCCGATACGAAAGCCTGGCTAGAAGAGATTGCCGCCACGCGAGACAAAGTAATGGCCGCTAGGCGAGGAATGAGGGACGCCAGCCACAAGAAGATAGTGGCCGAAAGCAAACCCAAAATGGACATACAGACGATGGCCTGCCAAGAGATGGAGGCGCGTCAGGAAGAGAAGAAGCCGATCTCAAAGAAACCTGAGGCGGCACAGAAAGAAGTGGTCCCCGTAGATGACGCCGAAGTAATGCCGGTCGGAGAACCGAAGAAGGAAAGGCGCAAAGACCGAAAACTGGCCGCGGAGCGCTGCCGTCAGATGAACGAACGGACCCAGGGTCAGGGTGGGTGCCGAAAAAACTGGCCGTCGCCCGCAGAGGGACGAGCCGCCGTGCGAAATTGGCACAGCAAGAGCAGGAAACCGACAAGAGGAAGTCCCGCCGCGCAAAAGTGGCACGACGCATGAGAGACATCCACAGGTCGAACACGATCCGCCGTGCGAAAGTGGTACGAAAAATACAAACCGACTAGAAGGTGTCCCGCCGTGTAGCAGTTGCACGACGCAGGAGAGATGCCTTCAAGAAGGAGAACCTTACTCAGGGAGCTGGTGGATTCGCGAGGAAGCGACTGGTCATGGCCGACAAGAAGATGACCCGATGTGCAAATGTGACACAACGCAAGAGACTCAGACTTCAGGGAGATCAGTTGGAGTCCCGCACAAGCACACATAAGGTTGTGTCGAAAAGGAGACAAGAAGAACTTGAAAGCGGGAGGATGACAGAAGAATTCGTCGTGAAAGGAAAAGAAGCAGAACGACTCAAGACCGACAGAGACACAATAAGGCGACTGAGAAAGCAATTCGAAGCATGTGCAAATGCACCAGCAGACGTGCTGCGCGGAATCGAAACAAATACGAACGTCAACAATTGGACACTGTGGAGGGGTCGACCCCCCACCCCAAAAATGAAAAAGGGAAACGGCCCGTATGGGAGGCACCGGTAACGTAGAAACACCGACATCCCCAGCAAGGATGAATACGGAAAGAACGAATATGAGACAATCGGACCAACAAATCCTGGACCATGGAAGTGCTCGGGGCGAGCACTCTGGAAGAAGGGGGCGGATGGAAGAATCGAGGATGGAAAAACCGAACATCAGAACGAAAGTAGGGCGGAGGTACCGCTAGGAAGGTGAACACCAGAAAGGAAGAACTTTTAGGCTGTTCGGGACGAACAACCTTTAGAAGGGAGCAATGTAACATGTTTGGAGTAGGTACTTCCATGGTAGCGCAATAACAGTGAGCCGTTGCGTGGAGAATGCCGAAGCAACGAACGCGTCTCCCCGGAGATGAACTACAGAGAGTTCGTTGCGCCCGTTACGTAACAGCGGACTGTCGAAATAGTAGAATCGGAACCGTGAGGAATGGTGTTCGGTATCCGGTCCGCATAACGCCTATATAAGCAGAGGAGAAGACCGCAGGAGTTCAGTTGGAAAAGAACAATCTCTGGTCGTGGGCCTCAAAGGGCCTTAATCCAAGACGAACTGATTGGCGGTAAACCGCCAGTCGTAAAGTAACTTTCTCTTTCTCTCTCTCTCTCTCTTTGAATATGGTATAGGACAAGGTGAAGCCAGACACAGAAAATATAAGAGGCTTAAACTTGGCGGTGGTCAAGCTTATGGCCATTGAAATGACTAAGTTTTCATTGTAGCATAAGATCTGTAAGTTAAGCATGATCTGGTCTGTAAAGCCTGTACTGACAGAGGATTGTGTATAGAGCAAAAGGAAGTNAATAGTAGAATCGGAACCGTGAGGAATGGTGTTCGGTATCCGGTCCGCATAACGCCTATATAAGCAGAGGAGAAGACCGCAGGAGTTCAGTTGGAAAAGAAAAATCTCTGGTCGTGGTCCTCAAGGGGCCTGACGCTAAGACGAACTAATTGGCGGTAAACCGCCAGTCGTAAAGTAACTCTGACTCTGGCTCTGGCTCTTGGGATAGCCGCCGCCAGAGTCAGTTGAGATTCAGCCACGGCCAAGGATAGTTGAGACGTCGCATTGAGTATTGGAGTATTGGGCCAGAAATCAGGTGATACTGCAAGTGATGATAATTATGGGCTGTGTAGGAGTGAGTGTCCAATAACGATTCGCTAAATCGGAGACCCACGTGACAAAATAATTATTGCACTACTATTGTAATTTTGAAAATACGAGTACAACCCAAAGATACAATTTAAAAACTATATATATATATATATATATACAAAATATATGAGGAACGGATCTCAGTGGACAGTGCATAGATAATTATATAATCGTTGGAATAATTGCAGGAAACTGAGAGTTATGGTTAAAACCTGTATAATTATTTTTCACGACGAAACAAACAATTTGACAGACAAAAATACGATTTTTTAAGATTAAGGCTTTTGTAAAAGGTGGGAAAAAATATATCTCCATATGTTTGCAAATGTGATGTACTATATCGCACAAAGTTCCAAAAAGCTGTGTCTAATACAATAATTATTTTGAATAAAATTTCAAGCCAGAGACATGACTTGTACCATTATATGTGTACGTACATGGATTGAACGATGGGAAGGGTGAGAAACATGTCTTTATAACGATCTGGCGTAATGACAACATTATCCAGGCCCAGGTCAACAGTTCCTGTGGTCACTGCACCCAGCATGAACAGCCAAGCTCCTTGTTCGTTTTTCCATCCTAGTTTTGTGAAAGGAACCAATTCATAACTGTAACACAGAAAAAGTATCTTTTGTTTTACATTCAGAACTAACTCTCTTCTTTTTATGCTTGTGGCCGTACGGTATGCTTTCCTCGTGCATGGGATAGGACATTTAACACATAAATGTAAACAAAATAAGAATCTGCTATATAAATGGAAGAATAGAGTTAAAATGTGGATCAACTTTACATTATACGAGCAACTTACGCGTTCTGAAGAATTCTATCTACTGGGACGCAACATACTGACTTTGTCTTCACTTTCGAGGACAGCCAAGCAAGTAGCTAGTAAGAAGTGGGCAGCAAGTAAAGCAGACAGTAGTTACTATAGGATTCTGACGATGGTGTATAACACACTGATATGTTTTTTTTTGTGACATTGGTTTGTCCAGTGATTGAGGCTAGCTCTTTCTAACGGACCCAACAGAATAGGTGTTTTCCTTCACCTGAGGACGGAAACAGATCCAGTTTCCGCAACGTCGTGTTTTTATTTGTTATCTTAAAAACCAGGACGATGGATAAAGTCCAAAAACCCAACATATCAAAGCAGACAGTGTTTATTCATTTACATTTTGCCCAAAATATAGATATGAAAATTCTTCGCATTTATCACGTCTCAGTATTGGTATATTCGTATCTACAAAAAATGCACTGTGTGTATGTGTATGTGCAAATGTGTTTGCGCGAGTGTATGTGTGTATGTGTATGTGCAAGTGTGTTTGCGCGAGTGTATGCATGCGTAGGTGTATTTTTCTTTACATAGGAACCCATTGTCAATGTCAACATATTCTAATTTCATATCTACAAATAACCTGACGTTCTGGCTACCGATCGAATGAACAATTCTCTGATAAAATATTTCCTCTGAGTTATATTCTTGTTCAAGAAATTGCAGATCCATCACAAAGTTCGTCCCTGCTTTAGATCGCTCGGAAATATACAAGCATAAAAAGATTCCTTCATGCTTGAATACAATTTGGAAGTAAAAACAAAAGTTCAAGCCCAACTATTGCGGCAAAGTTAGTTAGAAAATAGTAAGATTTAACATGTTTACTATAATTTTATGTTTATGTTGTAAATAAATGGCATATAACGAACCTGGCATTCAGTGATCTGACGATAAATTCCAAAAGATCCATCAAGTGATTGTCATCTTCAATCTCGTCTTCTGAACTCTGTGCCGACAGCGTCGTGTCTCTTGTAGCGCCACCTCCTACTTCCGCTATATTTTGACTGACGTTTCTTACACCTACGAAAAGTGGGAGACCACGGAAATCGTTTCGCCGCTCGATACCATCTGGGAACATCAAATTTGCAGTTCCAACTGTTGCATTCCACGATCCTAGCGGAATCATGACCAGTGAACTGTTGGAATTTTGACGAATCTTATATACTTGAAGCAACGAAAATCCTAGTCCAGAATATTCTGTTCTATCTGGATTCTCTCTGCAATTTCCTATTTCATTGTACAAGTGATTTCTATCTTTTTTATTGTTGTAGTTTCTATTGCCTTTTCTTCTTCTTTCTTCTTTATGTCTCTTAACACTTTCAGGATGATTCCAATTTCTTTTCATGTGAAGATATCTTTCATCATTAAGCTTTTCACCACTGACAAGGACGCCTCTCTTTCCACGTCTGTGTGACCCATCGCTTTCGTAGTTGGTTGCATCATCCCTGTCATCCCAACTGTGGGTCCTGCTCCTAGTACTGGTGCCAGGGATGCTCTCTTTAGTTTCCTTTATTTTTGTTGCGATCACCAAATCCGTGTCAGGACCGATACTTAAATATCTTAGTCTTTCTTCGATAGTGAAATTTGAGTTGACGGAATGAATTGTCTTCTCTGCGACAATGACCCAAGACACGTAGGAGTGAAATAGCTGCTTCTGTGACACCTGGAAGTTAAAGAAAAATGGATTGTGTTTTAAACTCATGCACAAGCTTTGTTAAGATTTCAATGTGAACTTCATAAACGGCTTAGTTTTTGTTCATTGTTCTTCAGATGTTAAGTGCACACAACTGCCGAAAATATAAACGTTGAATGAAATTGGAAGATTGTAATCAGTGTTAAGTATGAGAACCTTTAGAAAGAGACATTCGTAGTCTATTTGCCTCGAGGGATTGAAGAAAACCAAAAAGACATCAGGTCAGAGAGTCGGAAACGCGACAGACTTTCGAACCGAATATGCTCCAGACAAAAACTGTAGTGCGTTACCAACATACAAATTGCTAGGTGTGCGATAATTTAATGATCATGCTTACTTATTATTTTAATTTCATGGGGTTGGGTGACTCAGAGTCCACTTTATACGTCGGTCACTAACTGGCCAGCCCCAGACGATAGATGAATATGGAGAATTTGGTGGAATGAGAATTAGCAGAAAAACTCGAAATGCTCTAAAAATTATGTCCCAGTGCCTCTTTGTCCACCAAAAATCCCACATTACCTGTCCTGGGATGCAACCTGGGCTGCCGCGGTCAGAAGACGGCGAATAATCGCTTGAACTATGGCAGGGCTTCATGTTTATCTTACTAAAATATATTTAATTTTTGTCACGCTTTTGCGTTGCACCGTTTACAAAAACCTACCTGTATTGTGCACTATTTATGTGTGTGTGTGTATGTCTGTGCGCTCATGAGCGTGTCTGTGTCCACAGAGTACAACATTTCTCTCTCAGCTAGTCAGAAATTCCTCACTGCGACTATGTAAAAAATAACACCGTGATTACGTGAACTGAGCAAATGAAGCAGTTTTAATGCATTTCCATGATATTTCTTTGCATTTATAATCTGAACACAATCTTCTAATGTTTGAAAGAAAGAATTTTGCGATGTCACACAGTCATTAACAAACATTACCACATAGGGAAATATGTTCCTAACAGAATATTCCATTAAGAAAGAAACCTGAACTGCTATTCGCATGCTTCATACGTATTAGAAAATTATTAATAAGAGTCTTCAGTTTTATCTGTTCGTATTTTCTTACAGTAAACTACTGAAGTTCAATATGTCGCAGTCGTGTATGAAATATGAGGCATTTTATAATAAGTCTATGTAGTGCGTTGTGTACACTTAACCGAAGTCTGCAGACTATAAAAGACGAAAGGATCAACATCCTCGGCTTCACAGAAGTACCCATAATGTCCAATAAGTTAACTCAGAGATAATGGACGTGCCTTGTATTCGGAATATTCTAAATTCGAATCTTGATGTGGGAACCAGCATCCATCACTGAGTGTCTTTCTGTGATATTCAGTGTTCTGCTAGGAAAATGCGTGGTTCAACCGTATGTCGTGTTCACTCTCCCTCACAACGTCTCCATTCAAAATTCATAATCATTCCCACACCTCAAGAGACATTACGTTTACATGGTCATCGCATTTGATGAATGATTGGATCTTGGATTATTTAACTACGCACTTTCAATTGTAAAAATTTTATAGCGTCGAATGCGAGAGTCTGTGGTGGTGAAAATGTTGAATACTTGATTTAGAAAGAAAAATTCGCTACTATTCGAAAGATAGTAATAACAACAGTAACAATATGAACAAGCTGAAGAGCTTGGTCAAGTTGGTATGCTCTAACATTCCTGTTTCTCGTTCGGAAGGTCCCAGTTTAAACCTCGGTTCGGAGACCTGCTATTCTGAGTTATTTCGAGGTCTTCACTTATAATCGCAATCCACTACTGGCGATTACAAAAGTGTTCTAAAATAAATAACTTCAAACCTTTTGCAAATTACTTTTAAATAATTAGCTGTGTTAAATTTCGAGCATGGAACAAACTGTTTCCCTTCACTACGAAGTCCATGGTTGCTCTGAGACCCTTTCATCATCTCAAGCAGTCGGAGAATGAAGCTGATACCTCCCGCCCATCTAACACAGTGCTTAACAATGTGTGATGGTATTCCTCCGCGCTTCTATCCGGCATCATGGAGTAGGTCTTAAGACACGGGAACATTCCCTTAAACTACGGTAACATCTCTATACACGTGGCATATGTGTGTGTACCTCTTCACCTTTCTCAGATCACGTGGCTGGAAATGCTATTATTTCACGAGTTCTGTACCGAACGAGGGCCGGAAGAGATACTGCTCTACCATCTCTTAATGGACTAAAAAAGAATGTTTCTCCGAAGGGCTTAGTTGCTTCTTTCAACCTTATCATTATCAACAAAACTGGCTTCCCTTTACAACAAATGGTAATGGATATTTTATACTGCAGAACGGTTCTTCGTCACTGAGATTAGATGTTTCCATGAGCCAGTTTGATCCACATCCTCGATTCAATGTCAGTCGGGAGGGACAGGCTTTGCACTACCGACGTAGACTGAAATATAAACGAGTCTGGCCTGCCTCCAGATAAGTGAGTTTGGAATTTTCGTCCTTACAGTCGTTTCCAGATCTGCTCTACAACGACTGGACTGTATTTCGTATCGTTTCAGTTTGATTCACATCCACACAAACTGCTTCCGTAAAACACTGACTCACATCCTATTGTTGGGCTACTCTCCTTCCTTAAGGGCGAAAATATAGGAAAATTGATCGTCATGGCTTGTTTGCATCTCTGTGTGCCCTCCTTTCAATGTTTTAAACAGCTGGCCCATTTTCAAGAAATGTGGTGTGAAAATTGTACCGCTGGAGGTCATGCTAATATTATACTTTTCCATTTCCTACATTCAGTACTATAAACAACATGGCTGACGCATAAAACTGTGAGGTGGAGGTGACAATTCAGTATGCATGGCAGTGCACATTAGAAAATTATGTATATTTCATTGCGGCTATGTTTTTATACAATACACATGGCTGCTGTGTCAAAATTTTCCTTGGCGTCGGTTTAATAGTGATAAATAATGAACAACAGGATTTGGCCATGTGAACTTTGTTACGGAAATAGTATATCACAAATGTATGTACCTACCTCCCATGTGGTGTGAAATATGGCCCGAAAATTAACAAACGCAGACAGGGCGACGGTATGAAGACTTGAGTTTTTATCAGAAAAAATAAAGTTAAAACTGTTTTATACTTAACTAATAAGTTTTTTATTCCTTGGCACTACAGCCCCAGTGGGCCTAGGCCTACCTCCATGAACTTCTCCGTTCACTTCGGTTTTTCTAGATCTTACACATTCGGTAGGACTCCTTGGGCGGGTGATGTGCTGGTCGCAAGGCCTCTACCTGTACACAAACACAGAAAAACGCACACAAACATCCATGCCCTGAGTGGGATTCGAACCCACGATCTCGGCTTCCGAGCGAGCGAAGACAGTGCACACCTTAGACCGCTCGGCTACCGTGACCGGCAATAAGTTATTTACAAGACAATAAATAAAAGAAACAATAATGACAGTAACAGATCTCTACAATCCGTACAACAGGAAACGAGGCAATATTAATTTTGTTCGTAAATACTTATTAGCTTATTTCACATACTTAGGCTGATGGATTTAATCACCTGTTCCAGGAATTCTTCTGCAACAGATGAGATCTGAGACCCAATCAAAATGACTGCGCCCAGTCTGTGACGGGCAATGGTAACGGCAGAAGGCAATTGTGGATCTGTCAGATCTTGGAGACCCACGGATAGCCCGCGCCTGTTCAATCCTTTCACGAGGTCCATAGTGTCTACAAAACAAGAGGGAACATACTTCTACATTCGCAATAACTTCTTAGTTTCTCGTAGTATCTAACGCACTAAAGTGTCGCAAAAATTGAATATACGCAATATTTATTTACGTATTTATTTTTCTATAGTTTTCCGAAGGGCCCTGTCAGTTTGGAAATGATATCAACAAATAAAAATTACATTCATGAAGAAAACAGATCAGATTAAATACAGATAATTTTGTTTTCTATCTAAATTCAAAAAATTGAGACAAAAACATACAAACCTATAATTTTATAAGATAATACACTTAGGTGTATAGGCCCTGAACGCACCAAATGAGAAAGTGTTTTATTGGGTTTACAAAGGTTTATTTAATAATGTTATCTTAATTCATACAAATGCTTGCACAATGCTATGTGTCCATTACAGCACAAGCATCTGAACACAGATTCCAGTGGTGAAAGTTCAAGCAAGAATAGAAATTATGTTTACTAACTCACATGAATATAAATAAATATAAATATGCTTAACGGTCCCCATCCCCATTGAGACTGAAACGGATGCTCCGACCCGCAATTAAAATTTCGGACATTTCCCTTCTCCTAAATTTAAATAACGAAACGCAGATTTGGACTTCCGTATTTTCCCTTTTGGATTCAGAATACACGTAATTCTGACGTCTTTGTTGTGATGAAGACAGGAACTGGAACTGCAGCAAATAGTCGAAGGTTTCTGCATCTTTCCTTGCCGTCTGCCACATTCTGTCTGTTATTCATCCGCTCTACGAGTAGGTACGAGGGCTGCTGAAGGCCCCCCTGATTTTTATACTTTTCCTCACTCGCGGCCATCAATCTCTTGTATCCCTATCAACACAGTTTCCATTTACTAGGAATTTCTTGTTCATTGCCATCGTTTCAGTTTCGTTTCTCGTCTGTTGTCTAAAAACGTAAAATTATAACACACCAAAATCATTTTGTCAGTGGTTTTGTATGAGTGTAGAACTTGGTGTCTGACATCAAAGGAAGAATATAGACATAGAAATGTATGAGGAAGCTCTTTTTGAATATCGACATAAATTTGTTTCGACAGCCTACCCAGAGGCTTTTCCTTCTTGCGTTTATTTTGGTACATTTTAGTACGCTATCATCTCACATTCTATAGCGTTGAATAGTATTATTGATGAACGAGAAACTGGAAATGGCTTGGAAGAAAATTGCCGTAGTATCCTATCCCGGTAGGCAATGAAGAAAACCATGAAAATCCTGTCATTATAGCCAGCGTCCCAGCCCAGAATAAAATTTGGATGTTACCGCTTTGATAACCTGTTCGGCACCCACAGTTTCATAGCTTGCTTTTCAAGAGTCATCAATGTAACAATTTAAGGGGAAAGAATGTCCCATATTTTTAACAATAAAAATGTCTACATTTTGCCAACAGAATGTAGTCATATGCTCCGTATAATTGTCACAATAAACAGCCATTATCTGCTTAATTAGGATTAATCTGTTGGTCTGTACGGTGGAGATGCGGTGCTTTTCGTGTGAAGTAAGAAATTAATTTTTAAATATCATTTATACCAATTCGGCTTCAATGGATTTAAATTCATGAACGTCTCGTATCACCCCCTACAGCAAAACGTCTTGTTACAGTATGAAATATTTCTGAATAATATAGCCAAACTAGGATTGTAGCCCTTACGTTTACCCCCCCTGGAGCTTCGGAGGTTGCGTCGGCTTTTAGTACCAGGTCTTATGAAATTTTTAGAGTTTTCCGGCGTTTCCTTAGCCACATCCCCTCTAAAACCCATTAACTCTGAAGATGACAACTGAAATGTTTGCCGAAAGGTTGGGAAAAAATAAACAATTGACGAGGCCTAAAACCAAAAGCCAGGGCCACATATAAACCTTCAATTATTTTTCGGCTATATGACAACGACATTTCAAATGCATATAGCTTCCTATATTCTGATGCTCGTTTGAAAGATTTTTTCCACACTATAACAAAAACAGACGCCGTGGTATTAGTCAGCAAGCGAACTACACCGACCCAGCGACCGCCGCTTGTCACCGAAGTTAATGCCAACTTTTGCGGATGGAGGGTGTCGCGTGGTCAGCGCAACGGATCCCCACGGCCGTTAATCTCGGTTTTCTAGACCGGAGCCGCTATTTCCTTGAAATACTTCTTCAATTATCCTCACAAGGCTGAGTGGACTCCGTTCCTGACCCACTACTTCTCAGAAAATCTGGTATTGCCGGGAAATCGAACCCAGAACGTCTACATCTGTAGCCAGGAACTCTGACCACTAGACCACAGAGGTGGTCGGGTTGTATCTCATATCAGACCAGCTGTTAGAATTGTAAATATCCTGCATATGTTCGGCGTTCGTTGTTTGAGGCATAAATACATTTCAAAATGGGTTGTATAATTAACATTTCAAAATGTATTTATGCCTCAAACAACGAACGCCGAACATTTTCTGGATAATTCCAATTCTAACAGCTGGGCTGATACGAAAAAAACTCGTCATTCGCTGAAGCTTGTAAGTGCACACAAGTGGATAAGCCTAAGACAGCCTTCAAATACGAGTATATCAACAAATCCATGTCACTGAAAGAGCCGACAACAGATAGTGGTATAACTGCACAGTAAATGCTGTTCTAGGCCCATACCAACATAATATGATACTGCATAAAATCTGAAGGGTTGCAGGTGGTGTGTCCGTTGAAAATCAACCGATATATTTCGGAGGAACATATAGCCTCCATTCCCTCAAGCTGTAGGCGACATTTTCCTCCGAAACATCAGTTGCGTCCAGGTTGTTTTCTAAAGTTGAAGTATCGTGTTTTGGCAACCCTTTTCTTGCTTTATACTGCAAATATTCTCTTCTGTCGGTTCATAATGATAAAGTAGCTAAGATGTTCGAAAGAATAACTGCAGTTTTCCGTGGATTATATCAGATTCACTGAATCTAATTATGAAGACTTTTCTGAACGTAGTAATCATGTGTCACGTGTCCCATATTAGCAATTTGTTGGCATACGTATCACCCAACATTGAGGTCATCTTCGACACCCCTGTGAAGGGGATAGTGGAAGGTGTTAGACATCGTTTCCTGTTATCTTGTGCTCCTTGCCACTCCATACCTAGAGTGTCATCAAGTGTAAGCATCTGGGTATTAAGTCAGCAGAACTTCAAACACAGGTAAGAAATACAAATTAATTAATTTATAAAATAAATACCTTAACAATGAGTAATTTTGTGATATTCGTGTTGTCTTATTTGTAATCAATAAATACAAAGCGTCATAATTGAATACCGTGTCCCAAAAATATTCTGTATATTTTCGCCTCTAGAATGGTAAAAAGAAAGTCTCTGTCTGGCACAGTCATAATCCTCTGTAGATAATTAAAGTAATTCCTACGATTTCTACTTTCGGATTTAGAACCGACACCTACTGCGTAAGCTGGGTTTATCTGCAGTTGAATATGGTCAGAATTGTGACTGTGAAGTTTTCTCGCCGTGTATGATTCGCTTGCTTGCAATATTTTAGAAATATTTTGAAGTTAGGTCCATTTAATTTACATTATACTGAACAATTTAAATAATAAATTTTAATACATAAATACCAGGAATCAGGATTTCTCAGTCGGTATAGCGACAGGCTACGGGCAGACCGGAGTTTGATCCCCTATAGGAACATGAGAGCTTTCTCTTCTCCACAGAGGCAAAACCGAATTTGAGGGCCAACTATACTCCTATCCAATAGGGGCGTGGGGCTTTTTCGAAGGGGGTAGAGAAGCCGGGACCTGAAACTGCCCATTCAACTCCATCAAGCGCCGGAGTCAAGAAAAGTGAGCTGTGCCTTCATCCCCCATGTTTCTTCATGGTGCGTTGCTTACTTAATTAAGAACAGGGACAACTTTATCATTTAATAATACATTAATCTTTCTTACATGCTCAAGAGTAGAGAAGTGATTTTGTTTTGATATGAGCTTCTTTTTCCGGCGAATCTGATGGGTTCGTGAAAACTTTACTCGTCACATGCAGAAAGCGTCAGTATTTGGATGGCAAGGGAGATGAGAAATAGGATCTCAAGAAAGTATTTCTTTTAAATCCCGTCTTCCAGTGAGTTCGTGCATTTCTCTAGGCCCAACTGTTTCAGTGTGGATTTTCCTTACATCTGATATCTTTATATTTGCACCCAAAACAAGAATTAAAATGCGGAATCATAATTAGACCTGTTTTGAGTAAGCGTTTAAATGAACAATTCAGGTTTCCTTAAAAATGGCTCAAAATATTTTCCTTGGCAGAATGATATATTTTGCCTGCTTCATGACACTCGCTGATTAAATATGTCGGATATATGATAACACATGTTATTTAATCGTAAGCAGACCGGTACATAATTCATGACACATCTGAGGAATTTAATAGAAATCTGAGCTGTACAGATATGAGGAGTAGATAAATTCAAGGAATACTTTAAGGTGCTAAATTGTGCTCTCTATTAAGAGAACATAGTCATAAATAAACCTCTGTGTATCATACATTTTACAAATAAGTGTCTGAAGTCAAGAACTGTTCTTCCCATTATGCTCGTTTAGTTGAGGCAGGTTATGCAATATTTCGTGAAAACATTTATTTCGTCAAATTTCAACTGTCAGAAATCGACCCTTAAGTGGAGGCGACGGATGGCAGTGACTTCGTTTAAAAATTTCATGTCAGACACGTTGTATTTGTCATCAATCGTAATAATTTATTAGCGTATTCATTACCGGAAAATTATTTAGTCCCTTCTGCTGAGGTTGTAGTTGGGACACAGCAGAAGACGACGTTGAAGTCTAGGTAAAGGTAAAGCTATCCCTGTAACAGGCCATGGAGACCCATAGGATTGTGAGACGTTGAGGCTCCCACATTATCTAGAGAGTCGGCTCACAGATGACGGTAATGTTGTCAGCCTTACACGCCGGCCGCCCTTTCTCCACCATAGGAAGATTCCTGGTACTCATTTCTGTTA